AGTTCCCAGAAACCAGTTCCCAGAAACCAGTCCCCAGAAACCAGTCCCCAGAAACCAGTTCCCAGAAACCAGTTCCCAGAAACCAGTCCCCAGAAACCAGTTCCCAGAAACCAGTTCCCAGAAACCAGTCCCCAGAAACCAGTTCCCAGAAACCAGTTCCCAGAAACCAGTTCCCAGAAGTCACTTCCCAGAGACCATTTGACCCGCGTTCCGAAACGATCCGAATCCGCGTTCCGAAACGAGCTGAATTCGCATTCCAAAACGAGGCGGCGGCCGTCCGTCAGCAAGACACCAGAAGAGTAAGAACGAAAACGCAGCAAAGTAAGGAGGGGAGAGGCCACGGACGCTGACGAGACGCCTTAAACACTTGGCTTCGGTTGTGGTGTGCAACAAGTTGGCATTCGAACTCATTCGGCGTGGACAGTCCACTTTGCGTGAACTCCAAGTCGTCTGTGGGGGCTTTGTTTACCTGTGCATGTTTCGTGCAGCTTGAACGACGTATTCGAGCACATTGAAGTTGCCTAAGGAGATGAAGGTAGAGCTTGCCAGGTTTATCTTGTTGTCACCCCTAGCCCAGATGGACTTCCGGGTCCCAGTCGATGGACAAGTCACATGCTCGGATGCTTCATGCGAAGGTGGAGGGCTGTGTGCCTCCCAGTCTCTCACCGAATATGGCGTCAGCGCATTGAACTCCCAAGCGAGGGGAGACGTTGCCGATGAGGAGGACATGATTCAAGTACTGAGCGTTGGCTTATTTGACGGCATTGGGGCGTTGCGTGTTGCATGTGACATGGCAGGCTTTCCCATGGCGGGACATGTCAGCATAGAGCGGGATGCCAAGGCCCAGCGTGTTGTTGAGAGCCATTTCCCGGAGACCATCTTCTTTGACGACATTGTTGATTTCTCACGACAGCAGGTTGAGGAGTTGGCGTTTAAATTTAGCAATGTGGGGCTGGTGTTGATAGGAGCAGGGCCACCCTGCCAAGGTGTCAGCGGGCTCAACGCTGATTGAAAAGGTGCACTGAAAGATCCTCGGAGCTCGCTTTTCAGCCATGTTCCGCGTATCGTGGAGGATTTCAGGTCTTGTTTCCCTTGGGCTCAAATTCACGAACTGGTTGAGAATGTTGCCAGTATGAGTACAGAGGATCGGTCGGTCATGAGTGAAGCCTTCCAGAAGGTGCCCTATATCGCATTGATGCTAATGGGGTATCTTTGTGCGGGAGGCCAAGGCTATATTGGGTCTCCTGATCCTGAAAAGCAACACTGTCTGTTTTTTGGGGGTTGGGGCAGAGATGTGGCCCCAAGCGAAGCAGGGGCGCGGTCTGTCATCCTCCGTTTGAATCATCTGCCAAACTGCTTTGCGATGTTTACCTCAAACATGTAGCAAGTTTTTCGTGTCCAGGGTCGCCTCCGGGTTGTGACAAAAATTGAGAAGATGCGGCCCCACAAACGCACTGGCCTGAACCTCCGCCTGCAACACCACCTTGCCACAGCCGGCCCAGTCATGACCTTCCGGGACGCTGACCTGAACGCCGTCTTCATCATCAAGCTGCCTGGCTCCCACACAGCTAGGATTCCACGAGGTCCCCATCCTGAGAAAACCAAGACGTCCTGAGAATCGGTTATTAGTTTAAGCCCTGAAACATGACACCATATCGTCAACCAGTTCAGCCGGCAAACTCTGACAGTTCCCAACAGAGGTTGCTCTACTCCTTCCACACGGAAAGGGGAAAATAAACCTTCAAGTCAGTGCAAACCACACCATAGTGGTGATGTTGCTCATTTTCCCGACCAAACCCAAGGCGCGCAACGACCGACTCGCGGAACGCCGCCGTTGCGTGGCCGGAAAACGGGCCGCACCTGTACAAATGCGGCCCGCATGGGCACGAAGGCAAAGATCATGGGGTGCCCAGATTTCAGTGGAATGGCACCCGGTGCTTTTAAGGCGTTCAGTCGTCTCGTCATGGTGTGCGGTTTATGTACTGGACTCGGTGACATCAAGAGTTCTCTCTCCAAGAAACCAGGTGCATCTGTTATAGCAAATGCTTTTCTGGCTGATTGAGAAGGTGGGTTGACCAGTGCTTTTACAGGTCAGTTTGACCTTGTTTGACAGGATTTGATCATACCAAAACAATCACTACTCAATGAGGCAAAGAACCAGTAGGTTGTTCCTGGAACAGACTGGACCTGCAGCGCTTGGTTCAGGCCACTCCTCGTCTACAGACTGTGATTTAGGGACCCCAGAAATGACCCGCCCAGGATGTGGAGCGATCTGCCTCGGCGACCTGCAGATCCTTGAAGCGATCCTCCCGTGCCGTGTGACTAACCGTTGGGTCAGTGGCTCTCGACGGGTGTTTCTTTCGCTGCTCGCTACTAGTCAGTGTTGTTTCGGAACAGGTCCAAGATTAGCGACTCTTCCATTCTGGAGGCTACTTATGTCGTAGAGGTGCTCTGTCCTAGCATTGGCTCTTTCAACTCAAAGTCGCTTGAAGCCCAAAGCAAAGCAATGAGCAAATCAACAACTGAAACCCCAACAGCTCTGGCCGAAAAAAAGTGTCTTTCTTTTCACAAAAAAACGTACAAACACTCTCTATATTTGCACTCGTTTTGGAAAATGGATGAACATGGTATTTTGATTCAATCATCTCGTTTGCCGTGCATGCGTGCATGCCATGTTTACCTTTGTTTGCCATGCCTGTTGTTTTGTTGTTTCTGTTCGTTCAATGGTGATCGACCTGATTTCTTGGAAAATCCTTGGAGTGCTTAGAGGAGTTCACCGTTATACTTTCTGACTCCCTCAACAATTATCTCAATATATTTATAAAGGTTATAACCATTCTCCACCACCTGTTCGTTTTTACGTGTTTCCCACATATATACATAGTGGGGAAAAAATAACAACAAAATAAGTAATAATAAAAAAAACAACAACACACTCTGCCAAAAAAAGAGGCTTTTACGTTGTCCACTGAATGGGTAGCCTCTTTAGCACAAGTCAAACTTTTGTGGAGTGAGAAAGGGGTTGCAGGGGTTGCCTTCTCCCAAAGGACATTGTTGTCTGATTTTTGTGTTGGGTGTTTTGTCACAGCATGCGGTAGCTGTGACCTACATAACAGCAGGGCGAACCAAACACATGTTCTTTTGCTTTACAAAACGCCACTTGACTCACAATGCTTGGACCCCCCAAGTAATGGGCTTTCATCAAACATTCAACTTCGCCAGTGCTAACTGACCCCACCCTGCCAGTGCATGAGAGTTGCTCATTAAAGACCCTGACCAAACCAAACAAGTAAGAACCTTTACCAGCACCAGCCAAAGGTGGTTTATAGAACCCCCTGACTGTGACTATGTAATTTCCATCCAATAACCACCCTTTGGGTGGTGCGGGAATTCCACTCTTCCTACAGTGCCCTATTCCCTTCCCTCCCAAAGGCCCTTCTGCCATCGGTGTTGAGGCATCAGAACGTATTGAACCTCAACCTTCGGCACCCCCCCGTGATGTCTTCTTTTTACCTCAACGGCACTTGGCTTTCAAGGCCTGCAAGGCAAAAGGAGCGAAAAGGGGATGCAAATGAGGAAAAACAGGTGAAAACGATTGGACTTCGTGTCAGAACTAAGAATCCGGATGTGTTTTGAAAGAGGACCAAGTAAAAAGCACTGGAAAGTGGGACAATATCGACTCAAACCCTTTGGCGAAAGGCTCTACCAGTCCTCGGTCTCCATGTTCCAATACGTGACCAACATTTATTAATTAAAACATATATTGAATCATGAATTGAACATGGACAAAAGCACTTTTTTCCCTGTCCACAGCTGCTTGATGCCTCTTGACTGACATCTCCCAATGGAAACCTGATCCAAACCTCCAAGCACAATATACTGGTTGTTTAATGCTTGGTACCACAGCTACGTAGAGCCGTACTGTTTTGGAAGTAAATCCTGTTGTCTCATAAAGCTGATGATCCTGGCCAACCCATACACCACAAACTATGCGCATCAAATCATTCACATCATTAAGAAAACTACCTTTTTTGCCGCGCCATGATTCATGATTACCGAAGGAAGGAGGTCCTGCAGAACGTCATGTTTTTTTCAGCCCCAAGACTTGGATTTTAAAAGGGATATAATACAACATATTACACTCCCACGACCACATCACATGGAAGTGGAACATGGGCCCGTTTGAAGACGATCTTCCTTCACAAACCACGTGGTTTCCATGGTTTTCCACTTCCGTGTGATGTGTTGACAAATTACCTGGACAAACTCCTGCTACAGCAGATGCTCACCACTTCATTTCGGAACCCTCCGAGGTGGTTTGCCTGTGCTTTGTAGAGCCCCCCCGGGCTGCCACGTGGTTGCACGGGCCACAGGTAGGTATGAGTGTCCCAGATCGAACGAGCATAGAATACTTTGGGCTCTTTTGCATGCTTTTGCTCTAAACTCTCAAGATCCAAGCACACAAATTCAGAAAGAAGGGATATCAAATGAGATCAGGCTAGGGTACTAGGGGACGCATTTGAGTTTCTCTCAAACTGATGCGAACCCAACACGCCCAGTACAGTAGTACGAAAGTGTATGAAATGAAAACACAACCCGCACCAAAACCGCGTGTGCACCACCTCTCCCCACCTTGAGTTCTCGCAGCTGCTCCGGACTCGCGCCGGACTCACTGGCACTGGCCATCTGGACGCAGTTCGCCAGCAGTTTTCCGCGGCCACTGCCCTCGCTCCGCGTGCGGCTGGCCAGGCGGGCCAAAACCAGGACCTCAGGCGGCGGCTTCCACCCCAAAGTCAGATTGGGCGTTTCGCCACCCGGTCGAGGATGGGAACGGTGGCATGGTTGGAAAGTTACTGTACCAGCACTCTGACTCTACAGGTCTTCTCGTTTCTTGGTATGATAAGTTTTTGGGATGTGATGCCTTGGGTGTTGTCTCGGTCCTTCTATAGCCAAGGGCTTGAAGCACATCCCCAGGCGATTGGGGTGGGTGCCAGGGGGTTCTAACCACTGAACCTGAGGATGTGGTTGGAACCTTAGGGCCCTAGGGATTTTATAGCGATCATCTTGGACCGTCCATTGCAGTCGGGCATCACAGTGGATGTGGCCTTGGCTAGGGCAAGACCAGGAGTCACTCCTGATCACCCGATTGCACTTGACCTGGCTTTCCAATACATTCCTAGTGGGTTCTACGCACATCTATCTAGTTGGGGGTCTATATAACAGGTCAACACTCAAGCACACATGGTGATTGCTGAGCACTTCAATCTAGAACTTCAGGAGTCCAACTCACGCCCAGCAGTTCCATGTCGGCGTGCGGACCTGCTGGGCCTTGCCCCTGTCACATAGGCCTTGCCCCTGGATGGGGCCGACCAGACGACCAGACCACCCCGACATGTAACTCTGGGAGTCCAATAGACTACCCTACCCTACTTATATAGGTCTCCAGACAGGGCACCCAGACAGGAAGTGCTAGGTATCACTCAGCTTGCTTATATAAGTTCTACTTCTATGAGGACCTCGACTCTACGAGTCACCGGGTCACCGGGTTGGTGTGAAACACCTCCTCCCGTGTCCTGCATTTCTCCAAGACGCTCGATCCCATTCTTGACTTTGAAGGATGCCCATCATCGTGGTGAAGGTGGTGTCCTCGATGAAAGGGGCATGAGGTTTTCCAGTAGCATCGCCACTAGCGTGTGGTTCACCCCTATCACTCCCTGAGCATAAACGTACAAACCCACCAAAAGGTCAGTGACTAAGCTGGTCAAGGTGTTGATGACACTGCGCTCTTCTAGATATAGATCCCCAACAAAATTGGTTTCTTCTAGACCCTGGGAAGAAAAACATGATCAACATATATCCCTATGTATCCCGACTCAGGTCCAGTCTGACCCAGTGTTTTGGTATCACCAACTCCAGGAGCTCCATGAGGTCAGTTCCCGACCCGTCGGGTATGGGCGTGCAGCTCAAATAGGGAGACCTCCCAGTGAAAGACTCCCTGGAAGAAGGGAAATCGACCCGGTCTAGCCATTGGTGGGTATCCCTATTCAAAGACACACAAATAGAATGAAATCCACCCGGTCTACCCATTGATTTTTTTTATCTTCTTTTTAAAGAGAAAAAACACACACCCATATGTATGCATTACCCATTGGTGGTGAGTATCCCTATTTAAAAGACACACCCATCTTGGTCTCAAAGCCTTTTGGACTCTCCCAGCGATCGTGGACCGGTGGATCAAAGGGCCTAGAGAGGATTCGCTGGGCTCCCCACGGTGGTGAACCACCACGTGCATAGCTAGACCACGTCCATGTCCGAGTGGAAGACTTGCCGGCCCACGCTTACTGGCAAGCTCACCCCAGGTTCGGAAACTATGGTCACTGGGATGCTAGGATGGCTTCTGGGCCAAACACAGGTACAGGCACCCTGACCTCCTGACCCTGACCAGTCGCCTCTAGCAGTCCGAACAAACGCCATACCTCCCTACCCTACTCTGAACATATTGTTTTACTTGTGAATATGAGGCCAACGTAGGCTACCCCTTGGCTTCCTTGAGCAGTGGGGACCGACTCCCCCATGTCAACCTTGTTCCACCTGTTCCACCTTAGTGGGGGAACCGATCCCGTGAAAAAAAAAAACAAGTGAAAGCTCCACTGACTGGGTCCCTCTCTACCCCGATCCACGAAGCATACCGATCGGCCAGGTCTCATCTGGTTGAACCCCATGGTGCAGCATCAACTCGAAAGCAGCCCAGGCCTCCGTAACATGACCGCTAAAGGGGACAGAACGGAAGGAACCACAACTGGTGAGAAGAACAACAACACCAAATTAGAAGGTCTTCGCATGTTACATGAAATCCCACCTGGGAAGAACTCCAGAAACGTTTCCACCTTCCATGCGTCTATATGTGTGAACCCGAGTCAAACTACGGCTTCTATGGCAAACTTATTCGATACGAGTCGACTCAAAAACCATGGAGAAACGTCTGGAAACGGGCCCCTTGACGTCGTTGATGTTTCTTCTTGTGTAGGGGTTCGGAGTGATCCCTTTTTTCATGTGTTTCCTCTGATAATAGTCTAGTCCACGGTGCGAAGGCAACACTGTGTTGCCGCAGGGGCCTGCAGGGGTCGCTGGCCTGAATGATAGGCAATTTCCTTAAAGGTGAATAGGTGAATGGATGAACGGAATGGTTTGCATTCACCTCTGCCCCTAGGCCCTAGTTAATGGATCCACATTTGTAAGAAAAACATATATATATATATACATACAGGTGAGACAAAGGTGCTACAACGAGTCTGTCCATCAATCTGTTTGGTGCAGTCAGGCTCGTTCACTTCTCCGAAATGAGCAATATTGGTGGGGCCAGTCTTGAAATCTAGGTCTTCTCAATGTGGACAAGCAATGTTTGTCTTTATGTTTGGGAGCACTCCTGCTTCAAAACACATCAATCCTGCAAAAGGATTGGCAGTTCTCTGTTTTCGGGCACCAGAACCAGTATTATCCTTGGCCTTGTACTCGTGCGCGTCACGAGTCACCTCGTACTCGTTCGTGTCACCTTCTGAAGGTATATATATAATATATACAGTACATTACAGTACATGTTTCTCGAAAATTTGCCTTCCTATTGCCATTAGTTTACGGATGTTTACGGTAAATCTCCTGAAAAAGGACGGAGATTAACCCACAGTTCTTTCGACACACACTCACACAGGCACATCTGGCCTGGTCATACTTCTTGAAGCGAAAGCACCCACTCATAAGACAAGTGTAGTGGATCACTGAGGGTTTCTGTCTGAAGCGCCGCTCCCAGCTCCTGATTGCAGCGGCAAAAGATCATAGCCGCAGGCATGTTTGTCCATATAATTTGCGGCATTATGCAGTAGCAGTAGGGTTCAGGATTTTATACAGTGGCAGTCTAGCCAAAACCTTTTGACTTCCTATGCAACTCCTTGAACGAATGACCGCTGCGACAGCAGCATCTGACAACACAACTGCGTTAAAAAAAAAACATCATCCTTTCTGTCAAACCATTGTTTTTCCTGATGTAGAATCACACATTAAAAAACACAAAACACAACCCATTTGGATGCACGGACTTGCGGTCAAAGAAGCGCCCACACCGCCCCTTGTCACCGCCCCTTGTGACGGTTGAGCATGTGGGTTGAGCATGGACACGGTAGGACAATGGCAAATGCAAAAGGCTCTACAACGTGGACACACTTGATTGGACCCCGCCTTGAGATCACTGAGAAATACAAATGATGCACCGCGGAGCCAAGGGAATGGACTTTGACCATCTACTGTTGTGAGGGAGACAGGCTGTAGTAGACCTCTGACCGATGGCACAAACCGGAAGGGTCTCTTCAGGCGCAGGAAAAGAGCTACAGTGCAAATGGTGATTTTCATCAGCTTTCAAAAAGGCAGCCGGCCCTGGCTGAAGTCCATTGGCTGAGGCTACGGCTGAAGCCATTTGAGACTCACATCAAAACAATCGCAGATCTTACACAAGTACTCCCTGTCAAGCACGGCCTCCAAAAATGGCATCAAGATCAGGACTGAAACCCTACATGTTTCAAATCCCCGAATGTCCCTACCCAACCAACAATTCATTTTGGGAAGATAATTCTTCAAATCTCCAAGTAAAAAGATCTTAATACGAACTGTGCTCGGAACAGTACTCATTGACGTCATACATCTCAACTGCCGAAGTTGCAAACACTCAGGCTCCAGCAGCATCAAGCGCGTGAAGCAATGTTCACTTAATAAAGCTGATTGTAAAACCATTGCTTTTCCTGATGTAGACTCTTGATTAAGAAAAACATATATAACCACCCCATTTGGATTGAGCATTCTCTTTATTAATGTATGGGAGGCTTTATTAATCAAGAATCTACATTCATTACTCCCACATGATCTGCCACATCTAGCATGATCTGCTGCCACACATGGATACTCTCATCAAATGCTCCAGCAGATTCCTGCTTCATCACCCGACTTCCCCCGCGGCCGTGTTGGCGCTCGGCGCCCTCGTTCGGTCGAGGTGCTGGAGCAAGTGGAAGGCCTCTGCGTGAGCTCCGCAGCGGCCGTAGAGCTTCAAGAGCGTGACCTGGTTCCAATCCCATCCATCCCCATCCCCTGGGTGCGCAGCGATTTATTTCGGCGCGCGGCTGCGATGCGGGGTCTTGGCATGCGATCTTTGTTGGATGTTTGAGAGAGGCGCAAAGTCCTGATTCATGGGACAAGGACCATACAAGACTACGGATCTGAGCAATGTCTGTCCCAAGGAAGAGGAGGGCAACAGTGCAATCATAGATGGTCTCAAACGCCTGGTTTTTTGTACAGTAGGGACCTTCTTGACCTCCCAGTGAAACCCTGTCCAAGTCCACAAGCCTTCTCTCTTATGTCTTACATCGACATTCACAATCTTCGGAGGATCCAACGATCTAATCAAAATATAGTTCTGGAATGTTCTGGAGAAGTTGAGCAGGTCAAAAATCATTCGGAACTTCTATGGGATGTTGGACTTTCTGTGGATCCACGTGCCGACTGGTGGAAATTTCTGAAGGAATTCACAATGTTATCTCCACCCACCCAATCCGAGAGATTCCTACCTACAACCCGACCGTGCACCCGCACCAGCGTGAAGTCTGAAGGCACAACGCCTGTGCCGATCGACGATCAACCAAATCGACTGGGTATTCTGCGACTGATTCCCTGAATTGGAAACAAACAGTCAAAAGGATTACATTTGCTACATTTGCTACATTGATACGGATGAAATGCTCACTCAGTCATGTGCACTAGCTGCTATTTGCACGTCACATGCTGCAAAAAACAGGCAGTATCCAGTATCCATGCGATTTCCTTGTGCATATTCCTTTTGTCAAGCCAACTACTGTTCCATGTTCGCAGCATATGTGGTCGAATGATGTCGAGTGCACTTACAGTACTTGGTTGTTCCAGCATAGCCCCGTGATAGAACCTTTTGACTACAACTCACTGAGCAGGCTGGCAACCTGTTTAGCCCCAAACCGGCAGAATATACAAAACAAACATCAAAATACAGCAGTATCATTTTTTTGGTGTGGTGTGGCAATGCACAACTTAGTGAATCTTGCAAACCCCTGAGGTCCTTTACCAGGAATAGCAGCAACGCCTGTTTCTTCCCAGCAAAGATTTTCAAGTCCATTAGTGAAGCAATGGCGACCACTCTGATGCAAAGCCAATAGCTGCAAGCAGTTTTCAGCGGCATGTTCGGTGGGCTAAGCCTAGTGCTCGTTAAGGGCCTTTTTCACGGTCGCTCGTTTTTTGGGGTGAAGCAAAGCCACTAACACGGCCTTCAGGCACAAGTCCTTCCGAATTTGCACCCTTTTTGTCATGCCTTACCTATGGATCCACTGGCACCCTCCGAGATGCTCATTGGAGACACTTTGATAGGAGGGTCTATAGTCGTACCTGCGGAGAAGGCGTGTGGATTTTGTAGGCATTGTAAGTAATATGTGTTGCGCCGCCAAACTCCGAGGGATTGTGTGCTGCTGTTGGGGTTGCAAGCTCCGCAAAGAACGCCTGAAAGTTCCAAAACACCTCCAACTGTGAAACCATGAAAATCACTATATACACCCTTACTTTTACAACTGTCTGTGGAATCAAGTGAGGCTTACTGCAGGGCAAGCAAATATTGAGTATATTTGAGGATCATCTCAAACGGCCTAGGAGAACTCGTCCTTGAGCACTTGCTTACTTGTAGATAGTAAGTATACAGTATGTCTAAAACGTTTCGTTTCTCCAAGTGAATCCACGCATGAGATTATGTGGTTTAAAGACGGACATCAGGCCCTGCACGGGGTTCGGACTTCCCTCCACCAATGCATCGCACCGTTGGTTTGGCCAGCAGCAAAGAAGGAGAACGACAAGGAGGTGGCACGGTAATGGACCAACCCGAGAGAGTCTACCTACACACCCCGAGACTACACCCGGGACAACGGTCTCCGCCATGCGGTCGGGCCGTGTCCAAAGCTGGGTCGGCGCCAGCTCCCGGCCCTCGAGCGGCCTTTGCGGCCCTGGAGGCCGGGATGGTCACAGTGTCTCAAGGGGCGGATGCATTGCCAAAACACACCAAGCGTGAGCTTTGCCTGTAGCATTGTTGGGATTTAGAGTTAGCATTGCTACAGCAAGCCTCAGCGGTTGAACTGGGAGAGACCTCAATATCTGGAGGCATCTGCAAGAGCTTGTTGACCCACTGTGGTGTACATTTCCCAGACTGGGACGCAATGTACCATTCCCTTTTCTGCTTGGAGGCCTCCTCGTGTCCTCAGGCCAAGGCTCACGGGACTCCAGTGGCTCCAGGCCTGCCAGCCAGTGATCCCACCCGCCGGACTGCATGGCTCCGTTCGTCTCCTTGCTGAAGCTGTCCGAATATGTCCGATGTGAAAAAGCACAGATTGTTCAGCAAGGTCGGCGATTGACACTTCACACTTGCATGCGCGTTGCAGGCTCAATCTGCCTCTCGATGCCAGCGCAAAGGAGCTGGTTCGCTCGCTCATTGATGCCAGCGTTTGCTGCTTGTCTAGTTGCCACTCTCATTGACAGCGGACTTGGTGCTACCACTCCTCCCTGCTGAGTCACTTTGGAAAGCAAGCTCTATACTATCACTGGGACGACTTCAGTCAGTGCTGCGGCAGTCCTTTGTACCGTGAGTATATACTGCCCTTGGTGCGCTCTTCCGTCGCTTGCTTGTGTGAGGCCCGACTGCCGATCGGGTGCAAACCGTCACCCGATCGCAGTGGCGTTTTCTGCAAACAAACCGCAAAGGATGGCTGATGCTGATGGAGAACTCACTGCACTTCCTTGACAGGACCCTCCTCCAAATGAACCCAGGAAGACCCTGAAAACCACTGGGCTTGGCTTGAGATATCGTTGAGATATGTTGAGATCGTGTTCCAGCTGGTCATGCTTCAGGGCATGAAGAGAAGAACACAAAAGAACTGGGCTCCGCAAACATGTCACTGAAAGGAATCATGACAGTGACCACCTGTTTGGACACCGGCAAGACATGTCAAGACAAGTCTTCGTTCTCTTTACCATCCAAATCCATCCAATCATGGGAGTGTGAATCATGGGAGTGTGAACCAAAAAAGCCACTGCGCGAACCGGCTGGTACCAAAGCCATACCATCCAACCCACTGGTGACCATCCGACCTCGGGGCTGGGAGGTGCATGGAATGGGAGAAGTCCCGCAAAACGAGCCATTCTCTGTACCTCAGTATATAATTCACACTATGGGGAATGGAATCAACATCGAAGCATTGTTGGAAACTCTTTGACGAGTTGGTGATGATTTTGGATGTTGGAGAGTTGGAGACGCTCAGAAGGGCCTGCAACCCCCCCCTTCCCTCTTAGACCAGGCTCCTTCATCCAACTCTGCTCAACTCACCGCCTGCATCGATGGACTTCTGGAAGAGCTCCTTGCCCAACTCATAGCGGCTCTCATGCCTGGCGAAGGAAGGCTTTGACCCACCGACGAGCGGATAAGAGTGGTCTTGGTGGAGCATGGTTTGCTAACTGGTCCTGTTTTCTTAGCAGGGAGTTGAGTGTGGAAAGCCACCGAGGTCCCGGCACCTTCAAAGGGGTCACCTTCTTCGCCCCAGCGACACCCCTTGAAGGTCTGGAGGTCCGGGTATGTACATTGTGACATGTACGAATGCACTGACCTGGCAGCCTGACCTGGTCTGGGCCAGCCTGGCCTGGCCTGGCAGCCTGGCAGGACCAAACATATTCACTCCCAACAACAATGGAAGTGGATGGCATGGACCGTTGGATGATGTTGGATGACCATTTTCAATATGATGCCTCTCGCTTGGTGGTTTCAACGAAAACGGAACGAGAACAAGAAACGTCAGTGGGATATAGTGGAATCAATCATCCCAAGTAAAGATTGAACATCAAAATGTCTGACACCGCCACCGTCCAGTGGCTCACTCTTTCTTGGACTGTTCTTGAGGGATCAAGCTTCATCCCCGACCCATCTTGGAATGGTAACCATCGGTTGCCAAACAGGCAATTCATGGTCAACGATTCGAAAGTACAGTCACCTTTCAATCGTCCAGATACCTGAACATGTCAGGTTCTGTATTTTGATGGTACTAAAGTCAGCACTGTCATCATGCCGTGCGCACAATGACAATCCACTCGACATATCATTCAAAAACTTGGGGCACAACTCACGATCCTCTTTTAGGAACAGCCACATGCAGGGCATCTATAAATGTATGTCTGCAACAAAAGTTTGACCATGACATGATGTACCGGAAAGTAGGGAACTTCAATACCAAAGCATGATGTTACTACGTGTTTTCTCCTAAATCGCCATAGACTGACTATAATATCTATGTCTTTTGGTGGTTTGACTGGTTGTAACATGTTGTAACCACTGTTGTAAAATTTTCCGTTCATGGAGCATGTCTATCTAACACCTTCCAGTAGAAAAAAAAACAAAACACATCTCAGCACAAAAAACACCTGACTGTCAGTGACCGGGCATCTTTGTCAGAACTGGTCCAAACAACTGCAGTGGAATATCGATCAAAGCAAGCAATCCCTAGGGCTCCAACCACCTCCTGAGGTTCGGTGGTTGGGGTGGGTGCCAGGGGGTCTAACCACCAAACCTGAGGAGATGTGTGCCACGAGTCGTAGGGAATCCTCATCACTTATAGAACTGAAGACTATACATATTGATTATTTGTTGGTGACTTGATTTGAGTGTTTTTTGTCTTCTTCTTCAGATCTAGCTTCTATCTTTGATTGAGCCATCCAAACAATCCTCTAACTATCTCAGTCTTTCTACATGTCGCAACCCAGGTTCCACGCTCAAAGGGTAGTTAACTATTTGGGGAGGTGTTCCGATCAACAATTATATTAGATTCATTATACATCGTATCCTATAACACATAGAAAAACTATACTAAGTTGGTCAACTCATTTGGGCAAGTCTCTTCTGATTTCATCTGCATCCAATTCTTCCGGTTCTTTCAGATCCGACCCAAACTTCAAACAAAGGTGAAACAGCCGACGCGTTTGCGTCGTGGATGGCTACCAAAGAAGAAACATATTCCCAAGACCCGAGGTGAACCGAAGTTTTCATGGAACTTAAGATCAAGAGTGTAACCAGTGATCTTCTGATTCTTTCCAAACCTCGTTTGATTTTGAACGGAGAAAACACAAAAATTGCGCTTCCACAAAACAGCCGTCCGGAACGCCAGAACGCCGTTGTTTCTACACGCGAGGACAAATCGCGCGTGTTTCACTCCGTTGAGGGCGAGTTCGGCCTGCAGCCCTCGAGGAGGTGGGTCAGAATGATGTCATCCATGGCATGGCCATGGGCTTTCATGTCCTCCGCTGGGAAAACAGGAGCCAGTGAAGTCGACCACCCACTTGGTCGGGTGACCGAGGAGACGAGCGTCAACGGCAGGGAATGAGCTGTGGAAAGCCAGGTGGCTGATCAAGCCTTAAGGCGAGAAATCAGGGATGAACCATGATAAAGCCTTAGCTTTGGTGGTGCTGGCTTGCTGCCAAGGACCACAAGAAGTGGATGCAAGAGCCCCACCATCGAATGTCCATCTGAGAAATGTTAACACGATCCATCAAGTGGCTCTTGACTCTTAAGCATATTATGCATATAGATGATTATCCATGTCAAATCTTAATCAAAAAACAAAAAACATGTCAATAACAAAGGGCACTGTTGGTGGTCCAGTTGTCAACAACAAGTTGAATCCCCCAGAACTCGTCGCACTGTGAACGACGAAACTTATTGTTTTTTTCACAGCTGAGGTTCCTATTGCGTGGCCCTTGGTTCTTACTGCAACCCTGAGATTTTTCGGCCAGTCCACTTCTATTTCATTTCACAAAAAAAAGGCACCACAGTTGCACAAGTTTTCAAGGAAACTGATTCCAGATTATACTGCAGCCTCTTGGCCACCAAAGTGGGCCCGTGACTTCCTCCGAAAGCTGCCGCCCTGCCAGATTCTGGGCTTCATTTTTGGGACCATGAAGCTGCAACAGTACATGTTGACCGATAATGGCTCTATTGGATAGTGTTTGAAAAGCCATGTTGGATAATGGCGGCGTTTTGTCGGATATTGCCTCGGATTTCCGAGATGGTCTTTCGTAATGGAGTGTAATGAGTTGCAGCTTTGGACTTTCAGAGAGTGCCTGGCTAGCCTTGAGACTGGGATCACAGGTATAGAACTTTTCTGCAAACAAATGCACATCACTAGTCACATCACTATAGCGTTGCCCATTGCCTAACCTCTTCAAGGTATCTACCAAGTGTTCTGTCTCTATCCGAGGCACTTTCTGCCTCCTGGCACCTCCCCTCTGGAACCCCATTGCTTCTGCTGGCTAGCCTTCTTGAGCCTTTCTGCTACAAGAGAAGATCTGATTGAAAGTGGCATGTCCAGCCAGCTGCATGCATGCTACAGTGGCTTCTCAGCCACCACAAACGCTGCATTGACAATCAATCGAAAAATCAATCCAACCATCATGCAAAGACAATCTTTTTGGTTTTGTGTTCACAGAAAACATCATTATATTTTTTGGTCATGTTCACTCAAAGATTGATTTTTGCCAAACTATATCAGCATTTAATCGATCTTTGTTTTTTCTATCAAGGAGCCTCTGGGTCATCTGCTGAGTAACCTGCTGAGGGAGTGCTGGCACATCCCACCGCCTGGATACTCGCTCCCCATGAAGAAGTCTGCAGCCTCATATGACGGTGCGCTGGGGTTGAGAACATGCACTTCTGCAAATCTTCCGCCGGCATATGTACTCAAACGAAGCCAACTTCACAACGTTCAATCCATCATACCGGATGGCAACATCAATGACACTGCGGACCTCATCCTCGTACACTGCACCATCCACCCTCCGGAATCCGACTCTGTTGAACCGAGCAAAGCAGCATTCCGAGACCTCTCTCACGGCCTTCAAATTCTCCCAACATGACCTGAGACTCAGTGGGAAATCGAAGTCCACTTCGATGACGCAGCGCGCTTGTTCGGCGAACCACTTCTTTCTTGCGCTTCTTGCCACGGTTCTGCTTCTTTCTGCGCTGCTTGTCCCTCCAGGCTTTTTGAAGTTCCTGGGTGACAGGACATGTCAGTCCTCTCTGATGGATCTGCCTTCACCGAGCACACGCAATGACAGGCCGGCTGGTCAGCCCTAGGGATCTCTCTCATCCTCATTGAAGGCCGGCCCACCAACCGATCAACACGCCTGTCACCACGGTGACCCATGGGTTGGGTCCGAGTCCATACTATCCCTGTCCAGAAGTCTTGCCTGACGGCCTGGAACATTTCTCTCTGTTCGTCATGAATCTGCAAAGCTGTAAACAATACCTATAGGCCTATAGGATCATCTCTATAGGATCATCTAGGTGACCCATCTTATAAACTTATAAAACACAGAACACTCGTTAATAAAACATATTATATATATAAAGAACCCTCGTTTCCTCCCGAGATCCTCCACCAGCTCCAAGGCTTTCGCCAAGGCGTTTTGGCCCACCAAGGCCTGGACGGCCACGGACTGGTGGACTGGAGTCGGGTGGACCGGTGGATGGCGAAAAACACATCGAAAAAACACCTGTATAAGCTGTACCCTAGGGATCCGGTCGTACCGAACCTCAGAAGGAACCACTTGGACCCTCTAAGCTGGCCACCCCAGTCCCACCGTACCTGAGAAGGTACGACCGGATCCCTAAGGGTAGGAACCTGTATAAACTGTATGTGATATATTCTTTTTTGAAGGAACCAGTATAAGCTGTATAAGGGACCAGTATAAGACATGTGTTATTCCTTTGGAAGAAGGAACCTGTATGAGCTGCAGCAGTCACACCAAATGGATGAGGGTCCCTTCCATGCTCCCAAACTTTCCTAAGAAGGACGCAGGACTTGCCACTGCTCCTGTCATTGTCCAAGTTGAACCACCACATAACGAAACAAACCAAATGTCCACCACCCAGGAATTACAAAGGAGTGGTGGTTAGTCCCTAGGTGAGTGGAAAATGGTCACCTCTACCCTCAAATAAGCAACCCTCCAATATAGACACCCCTTTGGAGCTGCTGGACAGTCCCTTCTCATCCCTCATGACATGTGGCATGATGTTCTGCCCCGGTGCCCTATGTCCAAGCTGACTCGCCACAAGCCGCCACTCATCACCACCCCGCTGAATCCCTGCGGTTCGGGGTCCCAGTGTTTGAAAGGTGGGACATCAAATTATCCTCAAACCCCTGCATGCAAGCACACACACCGCAAAAACCTCATTGCCCAGCATCCACTGAGATGGGCCCACCTTGATGAGCACTGAAAAGAGCACAATGTCTGGGAAACGAACTTGCTGCTTCTTCATCGCCTGATCAAAGCTGGATATAGGCGAATCTCTGATGGGATTCGTTGCTCAAATATTGGAAGTGGCCAAAAGGGGTGTGGAATATGATTCTCTTTACATCTCTTCACAACGGAACTTAAGGGGTGGTCTCCCGTTTCTTTGAGAAGCTTTGAGCAAACCACAGTCGTCCGCTCAAAAGTTCAAAAATGCTGTGGGATTCAGCGCAATGCTTGGGATTCACCTCTGGTGCTATCCTTTTCTGAAATCCTGGGTCACATCTATGATACTGGGTTTCACTCCAACAGACGTGAAGGACATCGAACAGCCAGGAACACGTGCGAGGACGCGAGTTCCTGGAGAGCTCCGGGAAAAAAAGGCTCAGCTGGAGTGTGAGCAAGAACTATACAGTAATGACCAGGTCATCATTCCAGTGACCGAACTTGATCCAGTGGTTACTTCACAAACAGAAGCAGAGACTCAAAAGTTCGGTCTGGGAAGGTTCTTGGATTCCCTCACTTTCCCTGGTCAAGGAATACTTCTTTTCCATCTGTTCGTTTTTGCTGGGGACACCAATCCCCTCCAAACAAGAAGTGTTGTGTACGTGGTTTCTATTTCAGGTTATCCACTTTTGGAGAAAAAGCACCCCAGCGGGATGATAGCACCCTCCAAAAGTCCTGGTCAGGTCCGAGAAGGTGAACACCCACTGTTTCTATTCAGAACATGGGAAGCAGGCTTGAGTGGAGTGAAAACTGCCTGTTCATTCCTGCCATCCACGTATCCACCCCTTTTTAGTTCGTGTGCTTCCTTCGTTTCCGTCCGGGGAACAATGCACCAAAAAGCGCACAGCCACAACTGTCCGCTCTCGAAATATACTTTTACTTCTATATATAAATATAATACTATATATTAATATATTAAAAAAACTAAAACTGTACAACTGATGTCTGAGTCAGCTCCATCTTTTCGGAGGAGATACATCTTGTTTCTATATGTTTCTAAGCCATTTCCAGGGCCCAGTGATATGATGGTTAGTACAGCATGTTTAATTTTCTATATCAATAACAAATGACTGTCGTTGATCGACTGTTACAGGCAGTGGGATTCCGACCATTCCGACCCAAGAACAAAGCCCCAAGCGACCAAATCAAAGCCCCTTTGCTTCGCGGCACCTCATAGAGCGCCAAAGCCTTCCAAATGCCACCCGCCTTCACCAAACCTCTGATGAAGAGGTTGCACATGGGAGGTTTCCTGAGCTGCGCAGGAAGCCACTCACTGAACGATTTATCGCTGAAATTGGGATTCCCCCCCAAAATGAACTCCAACAGAGAAGCGTAGACTCAAACTCAATCCACTGGGATTGCAATCATCTATTAAGCGGACTGGTCAGCTAGGCAGCTGCAGCTGCTTTTGGAGGTCTTGGTATATAGTGCTACTATAGACCTAACTGGAGAGGTTTGTCGAGAGGTTTGTCCTTGACTCAGAGTGACCTGCGAAGGTCGCCACGGTAGAACATGGTCGCCACAACATAGTAGAGCGACAAACAAGAGACAATAACAGCAAATTTATGACACATGTAGGAAACACATCAGGGATCAAGGACCAGGAAGGGACATATAAGAGACAAAAAAGCTCCTGCCCTTTTGGGAAATAAGAGACATTTAAAAAGACAAATAGGAGCAAATTCATCAAACTACTCATTGCACATGATTGCTCATTCCGCCCTAGGCTCCTTATATAATAAATTAAAACCCAAGGCCCGCCCATATTAGTCTATACTTGTATAATGAGGGTGTTCGCCGCACCAATCGTATTCCCAGTGGCACTTCACGACCACTGGAGATGAGAACATCTCCAATTTGCTGGGCCAGCGCATGGTCGCTTTCCTCAGAAAAGGGACCGCGAGTGGAAGGACACGCCGCAGACTCTGAAGAAAGCCATTGATGAATACATCAAATCATACCTATGGGATATGATGGAATCCTATGGACCTATATGGGATCCTCTGTATGGGATCCTATATGGAATCCTATGGGTACTATGGGATATCATGGCATCCTATGGGTGTGTATTGACATAGGGAGACCGAACCGCAACCGTATCGCCCCCCTGGATTCGGGAAATAGACTCAATAGACCAGTCTACTCGGCCAGGAGCGCAGGGGGTCTTCCTGTTAAGATACAAACCTATATATGAATACCACATGAATACCCCGCTGGATCATTCAATGATGGACCTAAAGACGAGCTTCCTCTACAACCCAATGGTTTTCAGGGTTGGGAGAAATACAAAGAGGGCAAATCGCATAGACCTCAACTGTGGCATCGTACACAGTGAGGGGAGTCCCAGGTCCCAGCAGAATCGCGATCTTTCTTCCAACAACATTATGATTATGTTTGATCATGCTTGATCCGAGAAACCAGTGACAAGTGACCGACTTGGGCAAACCAGAATGGCTGGATGAGCCTGGATCGGACATACCGCAAGGTTGACGCGGTTGATTCAATGAACTGTAACGTAACCCCTTGTGATAATATAGTATTACGTCTCCATAGGGGGTTATTATCAACAGCATTCAACAACCAGCATGACACTGCCCAACCTTCTTTCTTCGCACCTTCAACCCTTCAAACGCTTCAATGAATCTTCGGCTGATCATCAGGAATGATCAAAGGATCCCTCTTCAGCCACGAACGGAACAAGGTCGCGGAACCGGGAATGACCGAGACGGGGGTGGCACCCTGGTGCGTTTTCATGTCTGATGCCCTGGCGCGTGTCTAGGTGGCGAAGCGTCACACGTCGTTCCAGCGTCTGAGGCGACATCACCCAAAGGTTGAAGAACCCTATATTATATACCCTGGGAGTCAAAGACTATAAAAATAATGGTCTGACTAGGGGACCTGAAAGGGAACTTCCTTTACTTCAGCCGGTCAAAATATAGTCTTTGGACTTCTAGGGTATAGACTATCATAGACTATCCCATAGGTACTCCAGGTAGCTCGGGTCCTATTGACGGTCACAACAAAAAAAAAACTCTCTTGGCACGGTTGAACCCCGAGCGTCTGCCACGCATGCTTCCATCAATGCTCCCAGCGTGATGTCGTCGGGCTGCAGGCCATGTTCGATCAAGTCGCGGACAGCGTCGAGGCAGCGGGAGCGCATCTGAGCAGCTCCGAAGCCTTTCATGACCTCAAACCCAGACACGACCTGTCTGGGACTGGAAGGGAACGGCGCCCCAGAAAGACCCCTCCTCAAACCAACCCTTTTTTGATCGGCACATATGAGTGGAATCTCTGGGAAAAATAACACCTGTAGAGAATTCGGAAGGGACACCACCTGTCCGGGACCGGCCCATCTGCGAGTGGTGGATTTTCAGGGCGTGAGTACATCGCGGCGATGTGCTGGGTCCGACGTCATGTCCGTCGTTTTCAGGACTGATTCCACACGTTCGCAGCTGCATGAAGAACCCCTTGGTGATTTTTGTGTCTGCAAGGACCCCCTCTGATTCGTCTGATTAACACGGTCTTCGCCGGGAGATGACACATGATGACACGTCTCAAAGTTTGCCAGGGGCACCTACTATGGTAATGGTTGAAGAGCAAATTGCAAGGGAGCGTCAAGGCACATGGGGAAATACGTGTCTTCAAGGACACAAAAGGTTTCATACCCAAAGCAGTTGACCCAGAGCTAAGCACCGCACATGGGTTCATTCTACATTCTACATGAGGTGTCAACGAATATCGACACTTTGATGATCTTTCACTGTCCACAGCTAATTCTATCACTCGGTCTCAAAGACTCTTGCTTTTTTCTGAGTTGAGGCTGCACATGAGTGATATGGCTGATGAAGCCTTCATGCATTTGCCAGACAAGTCACCGTATTGTAGGAGACAATGTCCACCAGCTTATCCTCATTCGTTTGTGAGTGCAAATGTTTTGACCATTGCTGCATTCTTTGCACCACATTGGTTTTGGGAGGCCAAGAAATGGAAGACACTCCCAAAACATCAGTGATGATCAATGCACATATGTGTACATCACCATGGGAAGTCGCATTCGCCTGCCAGTCAGGTGCCTCCCACAGTCGCATCCCACAAACCACCAACTGAAGGGCGGCTTAGGGCCTAGGGTCAAATTCAAGTGATCGCCATGTAGTAATTCTTTTGGGGGTTCTTTTCTACTCCTTCTTCCAGGTGCCAGCGACCGTCTGAGGACTGCCTCAAAAGAGCCTCCTGAAGTATGGTCCAAGGACTCATCGACCTCCACATCGGTTCAGAATGGTCCAGGTATACACTCCCTCCTGGACCTTCAAGGGGTGTCCAATGAAGGTCCCTTAGTAGTGGGCTGAGGCTTCCATTGGTGACCCCTTTGAAGGTGCTGACTGGTTTTTCATCATGGCTGCAGTACCTGGATGGAAACGGCCTCTGAAGCCTCGACCACTGGACCCGAATGACCGAAGGGGTGGGAGAGTTTCCACTACGCGAGAGTGTGCGTTTATTTTTCCAAAGCAATATAGATTTCCAATATGAATTCCAATTCTATACCACATTCAATCCCAAGTCACCTGCTTTCGATAGGTCACTGGACCATACTGCAGCTACTTACTGTGCGGCAAGCTTGAGATATTTGGACATCCTCTCCTTCTCCCAGCCAAACCGCGGAAGTCACGCTCGATCTCGCTCGATCCCATCGGACACACGGTAAAGAGCTCGGTCACAAGTGTCGGGGACGGAAGAAGCTGGTTCATCTCCTTTGGCCCTACCTCTTCTGGTTACTGCAACAGGTCACAGCCCAAAGTGTGACGTCATCCAAGTGTCTTTGGCTGATGTTTCTCGCACCTGAACGTGTGGATGCAGACTTCATGACGGTCGTCTTCAGGACGGAGAAGTTTGTGAAGTCTGTGTGGAATTTGAAGAAAAAAAACCTTGAGAAGACCATCTCAAGGTTGTCTTGTGTCTTATGATGTTTTATCAGAGTTCTCTCAAGGTCTTCTTGCGTCTTATAATGTTTATCAGAGTCGACTCTGGTGTGAAAACACCACAGTAATCCACGGTAGGAATCATGTTTGGATGTTCTGGAGGCCCACAAGGTGTTCATCCACAACATGGCTATGCACCACCAAAGAGATGCAATCCAAGAACACTAAGGAAAACACAACACATGACTTGAGAGCATTTAAAAACCAAAAAACGAAAGAAACACACCAACACAAACCAAAGGTTACACATCAAAGCAAATCCTTTGGAGTCTCAGGCGGTCTCCCTTCCATTCCGCGAGGTTTGAGTCTCGGTCTCATACGTAAGACACCCGTGAAAGCCGAAAGCTTTCCTTTCCGTTTCGAAAGAGCTCGGGGGACGACGTGGTGACCTGAAAATTCTAACCTATTAGTCAAATCACAATGGTTCGGTTCAACATCAGTCCAGGAATTCCTAGGAAAACCATCAACCTTGACCACTGCGGCAAACGGGTCTTCCTCACCCGGTGGCTCGCGACCTTATCCTCGCCTGTGGGTCCTCACTTTCAGGAGGAGTTCTGTCTTCGAGAAGTAAGGAGACTTCGTATTGATATGACTGCGTCATGGCACCTGGAGCCCTGAACTCACCCTCCCTGGTAGGTCAAACCTGCCTGCTAGTCTAGTCTATTCTCTTCATTTTCAGTGCTCAACGGGCATGTCCCTGTTTTGACCTCATGGCGATAGCCGGTTTTGACCCTGGTACAGGTGTCGGTGGACCAGCTAAAAGGTAGCTTGAGCAGCTACATGGGACCCAACCCGATGTGGGCCAGGAGCCCCAAACGGAGCAGTGATCTCTTCCCCAAGCGGGGCACTTTGGCATCTTGCAAGAGCTGGTAGGCTCGCTCCGGCTGCTTCTGGTTCACGCAGGTCAGCAACAACCTGGCGAGGTGCACGCACGCGTCGTTGGGGACCCAGAAGGCCCGAGGCCGTGGAACTCACGTGAGTCAGGCCCTGGAAATGGATGCTGGTTCACTACCCAAACACTCCATGGGACTGCCATAGGACTGCCGATCAGGCCAGGGGTGGTGGTGCCAGGGGGGTCAATGTAAACATAAATGGCAGTCCCATGGAGTGTATGGGCCAATGGTGAATGTGTTTCGTGGCGGACGTGAATGGTGGACGTGCCACTCTCCTCCCGTCACCGTGGCAAGAATCTCTCTCTGACCTGGGAGCATCCGTCAGGACCAGGTGAACCAGTTTTTTTGCAAACAAGTGCCTTACTAGTAGTAACAAGAAGCTATTAATGTAACTTAAATTTAATTCTAATAGCTTTTTGTTACTACTAGTAAGGCACTTTTTACTATTAGCGTGGCACTTGTTGCTAGTAGCATCCGTCAGGACCAGGTGAACCAGTTTTTTGCACCAGAGCCAGTCGATTCGCTTCCCAGTCGATTCACGGTACATGAACAGTTCTGGTAGAATCATGAACAGTTCCCCTCAACAAAAAAATCAAAACGACTTCTAAGACATCTTGAAAGGTTACATGTTTTTACATGTTGTTTACGGTATCCAATTTGGGCTCGCTGTAGGACACCCTAGAGTGACTTGGTGAGCATGTCTGATTACATCTTGCTGAGATCACCATGAAACAGCGAGCTGTTGTTGTTGAACGTAATACTTCTGCCAAACTCCAAGCCCAGAAAGGGTCGTTCATACCTTGTCCCTTGCTTGCTCAATCCCTTGGTGCCTCAGGCGAAACCTTTGTTTGTGAACAGTGCCGAATCTAGGCAAATATCCATCGTTAAAAAAAAATAAACACGCATGTGTGCACAGTCTTGCTGTGGAGGGGAGGGTATGTCCCCTGTGGCGTACTAAGTGCAGCATAGCCAGCAAGAATCAGCTGGGACTGGACAACAATTCATTGTCTTAAGGAGCTTCTTGCTCTTCAGAAAACACGCACCCTTCCTGGACACTCCAGTGCAATGCCAAACATCCGCATAAACATGTGGCTACCACCCTTATATAAATAAAACGGTTTTTGCCTGTGCCTCCAAGATCGATTCTGACAAATGCATCGAATCCTCATGAACCATCGGCTCATGCTGCGCCCTCGTTTGGGTGTTACCGCAGCCCTTTACCTCGACAAATCGGGTTCTGCAAATCGCCAGGCGGTCCAGTGCTTAGCCAAGGAACATGTTCAACATCAAGTTGCTCACCTGGCGGGCGGAACAAACAGGAGGGAAGGAAGCTCACCTGGACCGTGAAACCTTCAACTTTCATGCGTGGCGATGCATTGCAGAACCTCCAAAATAATTCAAAAACTTGGGGCCGGGGGTTGGTGACGAAAGCTGGCTGCATCAAATCATATGGCCTTAAAACGGACCAAAAACACTCGGCTAAAAATTGGGAGGCCAGACATCCTGTCAAGCCTTAGGTCCGACCATTCCATCGCTGAACATGTCCATTGAGGTCCGACCTTTATGGGATATCATGGGATCAGACTTGGAGTTGCTGATTCGGACACCAGGAAAACAATAAAACTCTTCCCCCCATGCCAGGGGATGAACATCCAGGCACCATGAACACAACATGAAAATTAATCCCATCCTCCTAATAATAAACACGGCCCCCCCCCTATTAAAAAAACCTCGGTCGCATTTTTTCTAATAGGGGGTCCCTGAAATCGGGGGGGGGCAAAATAGGGTCACCTGGAAAGAGTTTCAAAACCAACAAGTAATCCAGGAAAACTTTATATAAAATCCTTTATTAAACTCGTATCAAAAATGCAAAAAACCGCCAGATCGAAGGGTCTTCCTTTTCCCCTACAAAAACCTTCATTAGAATGGTGATTCTTCAGTAGACTAACAGCTAAAGCTTTCGAAAGGTGATGTCGCTGTGCCATGCGGTGTTGCATGACCTCGGTGGCAAGTGCGTTTGCGTGAGTCCGTGCCATTGAGGGAAGGAAAGCCTGCTGGTGTAAGCGCGGCGTGTCATGGTGGAGTTTTGGGGAACCTAATTAAAAAAAACTACCCCCAAAATCGACCGTGTTGGTAGTTTAGTAGCGGTTTGAAAGGGCGGCAATTTAAAACCAAATATAAACCGAATTTAGGGGTTCGGACGTGGTGTTTTTTTAATTGGGGAGTGTTTATTAATAGGTACTCGGGATTACATCACCCGCGACTGGTCAGTGAAACATAAAAAAACCTATCATGATCATGCGAACTCCCTTCTTCTAAAAAGACCCGAGAACCGCTCCGGATGTGCCCAGTGGATCGGCCCTTGAGCGCCGCACCCCCCCCCCCGCTTCGCTTGGCTGGAGCGAGACGAAACGAGGGAGATCCCTGGGCCCCTGGGTAGACCGGTCTACTTCCCTTCTTGCAGGTTGTCTTGCGATCTCCCGATGGTTTGGTCGGCCTGTACACACCCTAACCAACATCGCTGAGTGTGAAGCATGTCGGTTTCTGCCTGAAGATGTGCAACGGACAAAGAGTCTGGATGTTCAGTTCGCTTCCACTGACCCTCCGTAGCTTCCAAGCATCCAACCCTCCAGGCATGGCACCAGGTATACCTTCACGCTCTCTCTCTCTCTCTCTCTCCCCACCTGACCCCCCCTCAGTTTCCCTGGAAAAAACAACGGTTTAATCCTTGTTCCACCTGGTCGACTTATGGGTGGTTTCCCCAATCCAGCAAGAAAAGGTTGGGGTTAAATGAGGTTTTTGAAGGATCTTCTGGCTTTTCCTGGGTAGGTTACAGTAGGTTAAATGGTTTAATGGGGTTTAAGATGGTAGGTTACCGTTATTACCCATCTTCCCCACGCCAAAGGCACCGGTCTCGCCTCATCGCCCAGCCGGTGAAAGAGCTGCTCCGCCGCATCGGCGGAGTTCAGCTGCACGTAGCCTCGGGCGAAGGCGGAAGGCGCCAAAACGACCTATGTGGATCCCAGGGAATTCCACCAATGTATGGAATATATATATATATACCCTAGGGATCCAAGTACCTTCTCAGGTACGGTGTTTGGGGTGGCTGTGGAGGGTCCAAGTGCCTTCTGAGAAGGTACTTGGATCCCTAGGGATATATAGATTGGGATGGTTTCAGGAGTGATTCTATTGTAGGTACCCCAGCAAGTCCAAAGGACGGGTGAAACTGGTGCGTTAGCGTAAAGGACACATTTCAATTCACCTCCCAACTTCCAAGAAATAATGTGCACATGTTTTTCACAGCCTTTCACCCTGTTTTCACGGGCTTTTCACGGGGTTTTCACCTCCTTTTCACGGTTTTTTTTCATGGCCTTTTCAAGCTTCCAGCTCCCGTTTTGCTAAAGCACCGGTTAAACCGGTGCGTTACTAAAGAACTGGTTAAACTGGTGCGTTGACCCACTGGGCACAGTAAATATATATGCCAGTCCCACAGGTCGTGTCTGGGATTGATACATAAGGAACCCAGATTTGGACATTTACGGCCTAATTATGGCGTTCACGGCTTTTGTCTTTGGAATCAATGGTGACTTAATAATATTCATATGGCAACTTGATTCACTGGGAAGGCCCATCAATTCGCTTTCTTAAAGTTAGGAATGTTCCATGGATGGTCTGAGACCTGGTGTGCATCCCAGCAAGCCGAACTGGATGAGCCAAGGATTGCGAATGGGGTCCCCACCGTTGAAGGAGCTCAAATCACAGCACTCAACAAGAACATGGCCCGGGAAAAAAACAATACAACAACAACACTGGCTTGGCATATGAATGAAATCATATAGATCACCGAGCCAGGACTTGGGTAGTCTTCATGTGAACAAAAAACATATTGTGAACCACATCAACAGCCGGGCGGTCATTGTCGGTCATGCTCCCCAATGACCGCCGGTCATGCTCGGTCAATTTCCTGTTACCTGGGGTACCCAACTGGGAAGAAATGCCTATAGATGTCTGGGTTCTTCAACCTCTGCTGGGATAACAAGACATCTTTTGGGATTGGGGAGTGGGAACACCAACCAAGTGTCATCCTACCCCGCCGCAACTGGCTCCCAAGATCTGACCCCCAATAGACTCCCTGAAAATCATGGTGAACCTCCAGGTCTTCACCACCTTTTCGAATCTTCGGAGATCAGAATTCTCAGAATCCTCCTTTCTCCAATGGTCACCTGTGTGAAGCTCCTTTGATCTAGCTCCGCTCCTCACAGGTCGCAGCTCCTCGCGCGTCGGCGCATCGGTCCCAGGCGCATCGGAAGTGCAAAATGTGATCCTTGGGACTCAGCGAGGCCTGGCGCAGTCGACTCAGCGCGGGATGGCGTCGAACGGAGGAACCCCCAGTCTTGGTGGAGGGATCCAGTTGTACCAAACCTCAGGTACGGTGATTGGAGGCACTGTTGTGTAGGTTTGGAGGGTCCAAGTATATACCTTCTGAGAAGGTACGACTGGATCCGGCGAAACGGACTTCTGGGGCGGCCGGTGAAGGGACCGGAGACGGAGTTCGGAAGGCACAGGGATGGGAGTTTGGAGACAGGGAAGCGGAAGCATCGGAGGAATGAGAATCACTGGATTCCACCGGGCAATCTGCACTGGGATTGTCCGGAACATGGATGAACAGGATACCTTCTTGTTGTCCTGCACTTTTGTCCTGTAATACTTGCCACGCAAACGGGTCAAATGAAGAAGAATGAACATCTGAGCTGGATCAGTTTATGACAAGACTAGGGCAACCTGCAGGCTCCCGTGATCAGGATCTGGCTCCAGTGATCAGGGAATTTTTGATGGGTGAGCACTTGGTCGCCAAGTGTGACAGAGTCTGAAGATCTCCGAGGTTTCCCCATCATCACGCTCAAATGATGAAGATATTTTTATTTGGGATCCCGAAAATCCCGAGGTTCCAACTGAAAGGTTGTTGTGTGAGGTTGGGTGGTTGAGTCAGATTGGACTTGGGTGAAGCATGCTACCATGATTGGGGTGAGCCAAGCAACTGATAAATATGCTAGGCTACACTCTTCCTTTCTTGATACAATTGGCAATTCATGGCCAAGACCAGTCAAATCGCCTCCAAATCCCTGTGCAAAAGACCAGCCAACCAAAAACACATAATTATAGATCATATAGCCAGGATGGTCCTGAGAGGTCCAGGATGGTCCGGGGAGGTCCAGGATGGTCCGTCCAGGATGGTCCGGGGATGGTCCTGAGAGGTCCAGGATGGTCCGGAGAGGTCCTGGATGGTCCGTCCAGGATGGTCGTAAGAGGTCCAGGATGATCCTAAGCAGTCATTGCTCTTTTTGTTGACAGGCTGTGAGTCAAAACAGGGGAACCTTGGTTGACCAGAGAAAATGAACCGAATGGACTACCTGGGAGGTCAACCGGGCCCCTGGTTTGGAGATCCGGACTTTGACACATATTTTCCGAAACTGGCAGCCACAAACGAATAAGTAGGTTGAGTATTCCTGCTATGTTATTCGTGGCGCAGCTTAGTTGCCTGCGCCCTGTAATCAAAGTAGCAAACACACACTTAGATAAATGTTCGCAAGAGCTAAGTCGGTGAATGAAGTTCCACTTTACATTCATTAGCCCCTGACTTGATGGAACGGAAAGGTGCTGGAACGGAATGGTGGCTGAGTCAGCGAATTTGAAGGTGATTGAACAAATGGGTTTCAAATCGCACGGCTGCAAAAGGTTAAAAATCAAGCAGGTACACAGAGCTGGTCAGGCTCTGCTTCCAGCACAAGTGGATTGCTTCGTTGGGTGCAGTCTTGACTGTGCTCTGCACCCCCCTGCCTCTTTTTTGGGAAAAATGCAACATCCCCTGCAGTTAAAAATTGGTTTTAGATACTTGACAATGTGTGCAGCCTTAGAAACAGGCTTTGACACACACTCTGACATTGGTTTTCAGTTAGCTCAGTTCCCAAGCTGAAAAGGATGGTGAGGGAACGGAAAGGTGCATGAGTCCGCAAAACAGTATTGTTGAACATCTTGTTGAAATGCACTCGCAAGCGGTCAGCGCGCGGCAGTTGAAAGCGGCGGAGGGGAATGGTTTGGGGGAAGTATCGTGGAACCACCATGGAAGCAAACAAGAGAGATTGGAACAGCGTGGGCAAAAGTCTAAACCTGTTGCAGGTGGCTATCTCCTTTCACAGGACCCAACACAAACCGAATCAACCATCATAATCAGATCATGATCATGATCATGATCATGATGATGATCATCATCATCATCACCATCAGCAGCAGCATCAGCAGCAGCATCATCAGCAGCAGCATCAGCAAGTAACGAAAGCACAACCCCGAACCGCCTGGCTATACTTCTCCAGAAGTGCTTCCAGCCGCGATTCCGCGTTCAGCTCCAGAGCAGCATTGATCAAACCTGGAGAGACCAGGCGAGACTGCACGAGACGATGCCTGGAGACCAACAACAAGTGATTGAACATGATAACCTGTGCAGTCAACACTATATGTGAGTTGTAATTTGCAATGTTGAATGTGTGTTGGATCAAATCAAAGCCCATATTGCTAGAAATGCATAGCAAATTGACAAGCATTCCTTGCATCGTGACAGTTGAAATAAGCACTAAATTGGTCAATGTAAGTGTTAAACATATTTGATAACCCTAAGAATATTGTGAACATCGCGCAACCAATTGGAATAATCCAAACAACTTGTGAACATACTGTCATATAGATTTGAACCAGTGCCATGTGCTTCGCCACTGACAACCAATAAAAATACCGTTTTCACTGCACATGCCTATGCCATGTGCTTTGAAGAGGTTCTAAACAGTGCCAACAACGAAACAAAGCATTGGACGAACCCACCCTCAGTGGACATGATTCACAATAATTAGATGTACTGTCATACATATACCTTTGCGTCAAACATGAAACAAACAGTACACAACTTCTTTATGGTCTATACTTCTCTGAAGCAAATTAAATGCAATCATTTTACCACAAGACCTCAGGAGAAACCTCAAAAATGGCCAACAAACTTCGAGAGTGATGTGTATACATGTCACATGCTACTAGGCCCTCGCAGGCCAGCGCTGCGACCCTGTTCGGCACTGTCCGAAGGCGATTTCTCGTTTGTTTGAAGAACCCTTAACCAATGGGACAACTTCAGTGTGACCCGTGTGCATCTGCTACAGTCGCAAGTTGTGAATTCTATGCCTATTAGACCTTTTGTGCCCGAAAAACGACACAGTGAACTTCTAGACCTCTTTGTCAGACTTCTCGGCTGCAAAGAGGATTCTGTTGCAATGAATATCAATGAACGCATCTGCATCTCTAGGCTTTTGAAGCTGTGCAAGCCATGCTGTCGTGTTCGGAAGCCATCCGAAGCAGGCACAAGTGTGAGGGGTTTCCACCAGCAATTGGCCTGCACTTGATCCTAAGTCACTGAATCTAGATGTGATTCAAAACAACTTTCAAAAGAACTTTAATTCAATAGAAAACCATCCAATTTCACCCAAACATGGACTCTCATTCCAGCGAACTTCGGTCCAACCATCATCCAAAACCATGCGGAGAAAAGAAACACGCCTTCCACCTCGGAGATTTCTGGAAGAAACGTCCCGCCGTCAGTCGATCCGAGCCACAGGAAAAGATCACCTTGTCCACAGGCATGTCATGCCTGATCAGACGGCACCGAGGGCTGACTCCTGTCGTTCGCTCCCAACATCTCCCAACGAACTCCACTTGTTCGAAGTGAGGAAAGCCGTGGACAGCAAAAAGGTTACAAGGATGTTGAAGGTGATACGCTTTTCCTGGGTAGGGACGCATGGGTTGCTTGGTACATGTGAGACTCTGAGACTGACGAGTCATGCCGCAGTCCAGGCTGGTCCGGGAAGCAGTGACAGCCTTTGAAGTTGACTGGAACTTGGGTTGATTCAGGAAGATTCCGATTCCACGTGTGAATCACCACAAAAAGGCTGGTTCCAGGTTGTAAATCTGTGCCAGTTACCACCTACCTTTTACAACCATGCAGCGCATGCAGTATACTTTACTATAGTGGTTCCATGTGGTTCCACCAGTTACGACTCTATATAAGGTCACCAGTGGTGAAAGAAGAAAGAAACGCACCGACCCTCTGGTCACCGACATTCCAGATGGTGACCAGAAAGTCCTGGATGTGGCAAATGCCAACTGGAGAGGGGGATGTTTTTTTGTTTGGTCCCCATATATGTCCCCATATGTATACCTAGAACCCATATGACCCTCGTTTTGATAGGTAAAAACCATGTTTTGACTCCAAAACAGGGGTCACTCAGGTTCTAGGTATATAGTATACCGCCATAGTCCTCCTTCATCTACTTAGGCGTTGGATCGTTTGGGGTTCACCATGTTTGTTCACCAATCGACCTGGACCACGAGATCGGCCTTCGAACGGAGCGATCGGACGCTACGAACGGGGCTCCTGGCACTACGAACGGAGCAAGGAAGCTACTAGGAGCTTTTCTTTCAAAAAAACAATACATCGTACATCCAACATCATCCAAGGTACCATGAATTCAGGCTGAATTCCGAATACAACCATATACAACCATTGTGTCAAAACCTTAAGTCGACCATTTTGTTCATTGTCTTGGAAAGCTAGGGTCAAAAAAAAAGACTTGACTGGCAAGTTCTGTTTCAAACCAAGCCATTCCCCTGTTCAAATGGAGAATCCCCCGGGAATGGCATATTTAATCATACTTACATACATACATGGAGTGACCTCTATTTTCAGACCACAAACCACCATCTAAGATGGTCTTTTTCTATCAAACCAAAGGTCAAATGGGCTCCACATAGTTATCTACGGTATCTGCAGTACATTGGGGTGGTTGAAAAGGGAACCATGCAGGCATATATACCAGTCTCATGGGGTGTCTGAAAACAACCTGCTGTCAGCTGGCTCGAAGATGCTGTACGCCAACAAGCAAAGGCTGAAGTGTTTTCTGCCTCAGCTGCCCGCCCTCCACGGCTACTGCCCCCACTCACGGCTCTGTTGGTGCTAAACACGTTGAAAACATGAAAAAACCACGAGTTGTTCGTGCCAAAGGGGTGCCTACTGGAGGGTAAAGGACTCACTTGTTGACACAAATAACACCCAATCTTTGACTCATGGCATACCCAATCTTGCATGGCACACTTGACCAATCTTGCACCACCGGATTTTTGCTAGCCTTTTGGGCTTTCTTCAATCTGTGATCATGGTCGCTTAGAGATCAACTTAGATCCTCAAGAGGGTCTAAGCATGTCCATTTGGTCTGCTGCCTCCGGCTGCAACTTGGCTGCTGCTCTGGGTATGGCTCAGCATATGTACTCTGGTCACCCATACACAAACCCGCGTCGACCACAAAAAACCACGGAATCGACGACTGCGTGAATTCTTCGACTTCCACCGAGACGACGCAAGCCATCATTGACACCGCTGCCAGTGGAGGGAACTGAAAGAGGTCAAAATCTGAGCACCTCTCCATGAACCCAAAGCCCAGTCATGCCCAGTCACTGGACATGAGCTTCAGGGTTTGCTGCCAAAACCTGCAAGAATCCCGATCCATCTGGCCGTCGACCGGAGGGTTGTCCCCCCCATTTCATGACCCTTTCCGGCTTCTTTCTCAGTCAATCACTGAAAACGATGCAACTCTTCGAAGTGGATTGATAACTGTTAAATCAGGGTTGCATGATAAACCAGGGTTGCATGGAAGTGCCCCTGTTTGTAGAGGAGGATGGTCTTTGCAGGGGCCATGCCATCAACTTCCGCAATCAGTTAATAAATGTTAATAACACATCAGGGTTCTTTAAGTGTCTGAAGTGAATTGACATCAGAATTCGGCACCAACCCGTTGGAGTTAAACCTGGTAGTGCATGACCCGGACTGATGTGGCTGATGTCAAAACATAAACTGAACCCAAGAAGAAATCTGAAGATGATCACTTGAAACACGCAGGAAAAACCCGAAAGGCACTGAAAGACGGGCTTTCTGGATGCAAACATCAAAAAGACTGGGGCTTTTATCCGCTCGTCCCTGTGCTCTTTTGCTAGCATGCCAGTCGGACATGGGGCCGATCTTCAGAGGACCTTGGAACCCGTCTGCAGGGAGAATAGGATTCTTGCACCTTCTTGCTACGCTACAGCTACTGAAGCTCTAATGGGCTAGTCCCTTCTTGTAGGAGCTGAGTCCTTCTAATTTTCTCCTGACTGCCAAAAGAACTTGCAATTTCTGCAACCTAACATCCCCATCTATTGTCATTTGCAGCACCATGTTTGACTTCTTATCAGGTCAGTGCTCGTCATGAATGGCTTCCAGCCCGGGCAATTCGGTGTCTGTATCTTTTATTCGTGGGTCGAGAAGAACTCTTCCATTGGCAAATTTGCCACTCTTCGTAGGTTGAGGGTGTGAAACTCCCCCCAAGGAGCCCAATCACCCTGATCTCTAATTCTTGAGAGCAAGGACTTAGCCTGTGTCTCATGAACTTGGGGGCCATGCAAGCTAGTACCTTTACTCAAAGGCAGGCTTGTCCACCATCATTTCAACACGTCAGGCCAAATGCCCAGGTTGACGCTTGACGAAGCGTGTTGAACCAGCATGTCATACTTCAAGAAAAATATGCTGGGTTGATCTGAGGTCTATCCTGCACCAGTCATCTCAGAGAGACTCTATGAACTTCATGGACGAGACGAAAGAGTCTCTCTAAGAGAAAGACACCACGCCAACCTTCACCTCAAAGCTCGGTATCAATGGGAGACCACAAAAACTGAAAGAAGTGTCCATGGAACTATCATGGAACTAGCATATCGCGGGAAACAAACCACGAAACCTATCATCCTTTATTTGAAATAACAACAAAACGCAAAACTCAAGAACATGGTCATGCAACAAAGATCCCGTGCTTTCGTCACTGCTAAAAAACAACTTCCACCAGCACCAGTAAGAAGATCACCCAACAACTGCCAAGTTGTAAGATCCCCAAACTTCGACCCCGTTTTGAGGACAGACTGGACCTGGAGGAGGATCTTCAGGATCAACCAGGACCTGGCAACTGTTTATTCAACCTGGTGTTTTACTGGACCTGGACCTCACTTCTCAATCAGGGTTTTGAGGAAAAACAAGACTCGGACCTGGAGGATTCTGTATCCTATATGGCCATAATTCTAAAGCGAGATCCCTTCATCAAAGAGCCACGCAGTCCTCGGCCATGTTGCCAAGCTTCTCCTTCGAAGGAGCTTCCTTCCTTGCTCGTTTCAAGCTCCGGAGCATGCGCTCGACCACGTCCACCTAACGAAGTTCCACCGGCGCTGGACAAAAAACGGCCGCACCGGAGAATCTGGGAATCCCGTGAGCATCGCGGGGTTCGATGTGCCTTTTGCTCCCGGAGTTACATGGAAGGGGTGGTCAAAGACTGGCGCAGGTTGAACCGGAAGTCACCCTGGTAGGTTGACCTCCTTTAGAGTTGTGCATGTTTGCTGCTCCACCGGAATCCCCAGATTTGACCCAGAGCATCCGCCATTTTGTCCCCAATTGAGGAGAACCGGCACTCCAAGACTAGCTCCCCAACTTGGAACTGCTGGTTTCTTCATACGCACATTGGCAATCCCCCGAATTGTTTACCACCTTGGACGCGAGATTTTTTATCGATTCACCTCCAAAAAAGGCAGGGGTAATTATGCAGGTGTACAATTCCTGGAGGGGTATCCAGCAGTGGCATAGTCCTTGTCAGGCTGACCTGCGAAAAATTCGCACCACTCATTGTGGAAACAACGGTCTGCACTCCTCTCCAACAGGTTCCACATACTTTGAATTCACCGCGCTCAAAATAGAAAGTGGCACGCATCACGGTTTAGGTCCCAGTTTCGGTTCAATACGGGGTACCCTTGTGCTTGCTTTTGAACTTAGAAAAAAACTTGTGTCCCGAGTCCCAAAACAACAAAAATGACCAACATAAAACCAAAACAACGTTGAGTTGGGAACGCCAGGTGGAGCTCATGTCACATCAGAAAACCACATGCGTTCATCCACTGATGCAGCGCTTCGTCCATAAGCATTATGTTTGGAAACCAGACTGCAGGCTTCTACCAGGACCTTCAAAGTGACCTTTTGAGATCCCAAACTGAGGTCACTTAGTCCCTAAAGAGGTCACTTAGGACTTGACAAGGTCACTTGAAGCTCCTGGTAGGTTTCTTTGTTCGGAAACCACTGTTGGGGGGCATCGCTGATTGTTCTCAAATGGTCTTGTTGGGGGTCTGGTTTTCAGCCTTCCTCGCCTTGTCGCGACGCCACCCCGCCTTGTTCACACGGATCCCTGACTGCACGAAGCAGCCGAAGAGCTCCTGCAAATGAGCAGCCCCCCGACCATCCCATCGATGCATGGAATAATTAACTACATATTTAAGAGGGTTTAAAATTTACCGATTTACCCCATGAAAATGACCCCAATGTAGGTAACTATTCCGGTCCCATGGATGGTGTGGGGACTGTCACATGCGCGGCAGTGCGCTCCGGAGCGGGTGTTGCGGCCGAAAGGACGACTTGATTCTGACACGCAATCACATGAAATACGGCAGCAATCATGACCCGGTCACGAACAGGAATGACTACCAAAGGATTCGATTTTCTTTTAATTATGACCCTGCACCAAATTTGTTCCAGGCGTTGAAGTAGTGTCACTGGCAGCCTTACTCAAAAACTGAATTCCAAGACTGAATCCACAAGTGTTTTTGCATCCAGTAGCTCTGCCATTGCCGGGATGCCCGGGCCGGGCAACCCGGCGGCAATGATATGTTGAAACGAATGCATTTTTTGATTACATGTGTTTTTTTAAAAGTTTCTTTCTTCTATAATCAATGCGTTCATTTGTTCAATGTGATTCCCTCTTAATAACGTCAATCAAGATTTTGAAGGTTATTACGAATCTCAATGGCAATCCTAGTCACACAGGCACGGTGGCCAAATAGGTTCAGGACTTAATCCCAAAACTTTGTGCGCGTTACTAATAATAATTTTGTTTGTTATTAAATTTGGCGCTTGCATTTTCACGCAACATTAGTAGTATCATTGATACTGCCAGGATCCTGGCGGCGATAGTGCGTCAAACAAAAGCATTGACTCATTATTTTTGTTGTAAAAAAACGTGACTCATTTATGATCCCCCTTGGTTGTCCCGGGGACCCTCAGCCCCTAGATTTTATAAAAATCCCTGGGGGAATGCAACTTCCAAATGTTTATGAAATCCTGTAGCGAGGGTCGCCGTCATGAAGCGCAAATTTTTATATTTTCCTTGTGGTTGAGGTCCATCATGCATGGGTACATGACAACGAAATCCCTAGGAATGCCAACCAGGAGTATTTATATTTTCCTGATCTTAAGGACGGACAGTCAAACGTTTTTTTCTTTCGCGGACACTGAAGCTCTTGTGACCGCTGTGCACATTCACACAGCGGGAAAATCACAAAGTGGAGCTTTCAGCCAAGTCCATGGCGGCAATCACAGGAATCTCCTTCAGGAGTTTGATGAATGCCTTGGATCGGAGCCGATGTCAAACGTTTGGGGAAGGAACGGATAGGATTTTGAAAACGTCAAATATGTCTATTCAACATGAGCAAGTTTCTGTCTCGTCGATCAACTGCAAAAACCAGTTGAGAATACAGGAACTGGAAAAGTCCGACTAAATAAAAAATGTGTTTGAAGATGTTCCGGTTGCCCTCTTCTGCGGTGGGCTGCTTTGCAAAAGCTTGGCCACCTCTGTGAAGCGTTTGAACACTAGGCCACTGCGTTCTGACTTCTTGAAAGACTTGAACAAGTTCGCGAAGTAGCTCGGAGCACGCCGATTCAAATCGGTGAGCCGGGTTGGCTTCTGCATGAACGTCACGTACCCATCTTTGTCCACGATGTCTTCATTTGGAAAGGAGCTAAGGAAGATCTGGTGCAGGTCGTTCATGGCCTCCATGATGTTGACAGACTAGACCACTGCTGCTTCAGGTATTTCCGTGTTTCCTGTTCAGTTCTTAGAACGCCACAAAGACTGCAACACAGTCCAGGGGCACTCCATGATCAACCACCTTCGCGTTCGCGACGCAGCTGTGGTTCAGCAGTGCCATCATCTCCGGTGACACATTGATCACAGTGCCTTCAGCCACATGGCCTGTAGCAAACAGGCCACGGCCCAGCACCTCTGTGGACAGTGCCACAAGCATTGCGTTTGAGCCCAGGAAATGCTCAATGGAAGGCTCCAGGAATGTCCACAGAGGTCATTCTAAAATCCTGTGACCACGACACACATAATTGATTATAGAATCCTGTGTCTATTCTGCTTATGAAATCCTGTGCGAATCCTATGTTTCCAGGCTGTTCCCTTTATATTTTCCTGTAAGGTACGTTAGGCCTTGCAACACAAAGAGCCCAAAAAATTTATATAAAAACGGGGATGACCCACAGGAAAAAATAAAGGGATAACAGACGGGGATATTTATGTCACCCACCAAATGCAAAATGTCGAGAGTACCAACCAAAAGAACCAGCGCAGAGCTGGCAGCATTCCACCAAGTTCGAAGATGGTCAGAACCATCAGGTCTTGTCATGGCGATTTGCCAGCGCGGTATGGCCAAGTGTTTTGCTCGCAAAACTGGCCCCTAAATACCGTGTTCCCTAAGAGCCGTTCATGGCATGCTGGAAGATCACTCAGAGATCCCCAATGTCAGCTTCAACCCATGTTCTGGAGGGATCACCCAGCGCTGCTTCAGGTGCACTGCTGGCTTGATGCCAGTCAAACCTTGCTTCGCCCAGTGTGCCAAATGAGAGCGCAAACAGCTGGATCCCAACAGTCGCCTGGAAGAAAAGCGGCCAAGGTTGCAGCGTTTTAAAGTTTTGTTTCGAGCCAGGTGCTGCCACAGTTGCTCGCTCAGCTCGCCAGGCAACTTCGTGCTCCATTTCGACTTGAAAGTCTCCAGTTCCATGAGGTCGTCCTTCAACTTGTGGTATTGCAGCACAGCCGTCTCTGGCCGGGGCAACGCCTTTCTGCTTCTCCATGATGGAAAACAAGGTTTGGCAGGTGTTCTCCAACAAAACGACGTCGTCTGAAGAGGTGAATTTCCACACAAGGTCCAAATTTTTAAGCTCTGTCAAATCACCGTCCCACGCTGCATGGGCCAGCGCGCACTGCATGGTGCAGAAAAGAGCTGTTTCAATGACTCCAGATTGGGCGAAGAATAATAAGCAGCGCAAAACAATCATTGCAAAAGAGGTCACGAAGTCAAGTCCCACAGTCGAGTTCCTCAAGAAATGCACCTGGTTGATTCTTTCCGTTCTACGTTTTTGGACGCTACTGCGATCTTGGTATCTGAAATTTAGATGTCGAGATCACAGCAGTTTGCCAGAACTGCTTTCTGTGAAACACTTTCCGCTGCCATCTCCTGGCCGGATTTTGAGACGTCCAGATTAGAGCAGGATGCGTTTTTCATACAGAGATCAGCAGCTCGCCAGAGCTTCTGCGACCTTGGTGTCTCAAAATGAGATGTCGAGATCACAGCAGAAAGTATTTTGTACGGACCACGCTTCCACCCTTGGAGCAACTACGCCATACGTCCCCACAGAGGACACATCTTTCGCTGCTTCTGCAGCGGCCGAGCCAGTGCCTGTGGAGCTGGTATAGTTGCTGAGGGTAGCGATAGCCTAGTCCATAGTAGTTGGAGGGCGGGTAGCCAGGCCACCACCCTGAAGTTGGATGACTGCTTGGAAGTGCCAGTTCCTGGTGCAGACGAAGAGTGCCAGGTGACTTCCAAGCGATTCTTGCCGCATCAAAGCTTCCAATAATTTCACTTTATGGCGGCAGGGGCAGCTAATTTTGATGATCTGCCGTGCGTCTTCTCAGCCCGCCTATTACTTTGGCAAGGCGGCCAGGTCAGGGGCCAGCATGGTAACTTGGCAATCACCGCATTCATTTTGAATCCAACGCTCTAAATGCACTTCGGCATCCATCAGGGAGACAAGGGTGCAGGAGAACAGCGCACTGTGCGGGCCATCAGTGTTCTTGAACAGCTTGTCCTGGAAGTCATCGGCTGCTCGAACTTCATCTGACAGCTCGGACAACTTCTCTTGCATGGCCAGCTAGGCGATGTCCATTTGGAAACGGCTTGCCCAAGGGTGGTCTATGAACTCCACCTGGTCCTCCGCGGCAATCCTCCAACAAATCAAGTAAGAGCAAGTCTGCGCCAAGCCCATGGACTCCAGCCAGCCCTCTTTGTTCTGGACGAAGCGGGCGCAGTTCTTCAGATTCTCAAACTCAAAGGCTACTTTGCAAGGACGCAAGCGGGTGGGCTGTTGGGAGCAGCTTGCCGGAAGCATCAGCAGCGCCAGTTGGAGACTGGGGAAGCCATTACACTCACGGCTTGGACAACTTGCTACACGTAAACCCATGCTGAATGAGCCAGCAGCTTTTGTGTTCAAAGCATCTCCCAGTGGGATTTCACTCCCACTTCCAGGATTGGCTTTGGGCATTGGAGATGGTACCTTTGGAGGTGGTCTGTTTGGAGGTGTACGGGGGCAATCCTGGCAAAAACAGTGCCACCCGAGCCAGCTGGAAAGCCCATGCCACCCTGTGAGCCAACTGGATAGCCCTGGTTTTCAAAGACCAGCTGCGCGCCGCGCGCGAGGGGCATGGCGCTCAACGAGATGCTTCCGTGCCCGCCTGTTCTCCTTTCGTGACCTTCCAGCGGTATCCGAAACTCAGCCTCATGTCTTCGCACCTGGAGATGCACGCGCGCATGCGGCTCCAAGCGTTCGAGGCATTTGGGCTGCAAAGGACAAATAGCCAGTGATGAATCTACTCACGTCGTCCAAGGTCAGCGGCGTGCCAACATATCCAGTAATGGAGCTGGATCCAGCTCCAGAACCCTGCGGAGAGTCCAGGCTCAGATCCTCCCTGACTGAAGACGTCGTTCCAACTCTGATCCTTTCTGCCAGCACTCACGTGTGGAGCCATCTTTCAAAGGCTTTGTCTTCATGGTTCTTGACGACTCGTGAACGAACCCCCTCGCTGAAGGAGAGATCTGCACCACAGCAGACAGCCACTCGATAGGTCCCGCAGCGCCGTGGCCAAGAATGCTGTTCCACGCCCAGCGATCCTCCTCCTCCATATTGTCAATCACGATGGCATTCATCACAGATCGCGGCTGCGAGAAAGTGAAGCCTGCGCCGGCTGAAATTCATGTTCTACTGCAAGTTCTTCTTTCATCAAATTCACACGCCCTCTGAGACACCAACAAATGTACACGGACATGCATACACAAACACACGCCAACAGGAAAAGAAGTCCAACAGGCGTGACGCGCCATACAACACCCAAAAAGAACACACAGACTCAGACATACACACGACAAGTCCCACAAGCACTCACGCTGGAGCACACGATGCAGCCCACGGAGACATCCGGAGCGACGGCAGGCAAAGCAGCGTAATTTGGGGGTGGAAAATGTGACCAGCAGCTTTTGCTCCAGGAACATCCACCAACTGTCCTTTCGTACCCTTCCTTTCGCACCATGGCATTTGGTCTGAAAAAGAAGAACGATCTCCTCGGTGAAGAAGGCTTCCAGGTTCCAGCGCTCCGTCCGGCGATACCTTGAATCCAGGAATTCAGATGAATTGATGTTCATCGGAATTGAAAAGGGTCATAATCTTAGATTAGCTTATCGAGAAAAATCATAGTACATATTTCCCCAGAAGGGGCTTCACCCAGTTTGGGAAAATAACCAAATCATTCTCAGCAAAACCACGGTGAAACCCGTGGAGTGGAAAACCCACCGGTCATCCAAGTGTTCGGAGCCATGGCCGGTTATCCGAGTGTTCGGAGCCATGCGCATGTCTCCATGGAGCGGCCCATGACAAGGATCTCCTGAACCTCGCAGTCACAAGGTTGGCCAAGCCCGCCAACCCCTTAAGTCATGGAACTTGGAACTTCTGAACTTCAGAAGACTGGGCCCAGAGTCTGGGGCCAAGAGTCTGTTGGATGATGTGATGATGTTGGATATTTTCCCTCAATGATGGGCAGCCTCCAAGGTATCGGTATATGATAACATGTACAAACCTGACCGTCTGCTGGTTTCGTAGCGCCACACCTTGACCCCGTGGTCCTGGTGACCGATCAGACGGGTGCAAACCCTGGCTCTGCGCCCCTGCAGTGGTTGGTTGATGCTTACAAGTCGCCGGGCCGCAGGAACAATCCGCTGATCAAGTGGGCGGTTTTTGGGTGCTCGAAACAGGAGCGAAAACATGGCGGTTTTTCCCTTGTTCCGGGTTTGAGCCGCATCATCTGGGTGTTGTCCAGTGTGTAGCACTCCTAGGCATGGTGTTTGGAGCACCCCTAGGGATCCAAGTGGCTCCTTGGAAGGTCTTTGTACCCCAACACCTATATCAAAGTAACGAACACACTGCCTTCTCAAAGGCCGGCAACTGATCCATAGGGCACGAGCAAGTGGATGCAAATATGGGTCAGCACAAGTGCGTTGACAATATCGGTGGGAGTCTTGACAAACATGAGAGATCATACCCTTCAGTCGCCTTTAGTTGGTACAAACTGCTGAGCCCTGAAAAATCAAAGTTCTCCTTGTTCTGTGGGTGTCCCATCCCCAAAAAAGGTTTTGCAGGCTATCCTCATCCTCGGGGTTGCAATGGCTCCGATCTTCGTCTGCGATCCCACTGAGGCCGTGACAAATTGAGCGCGCGTGTAAACTCATTCTGGACCTTAGGCTCCGGCACAACGGCAACAGCCGCGGCTGTCTATGGCAACAGCCGTGACATCTCTAGGTACCTCCTGAGGTTCGGTGGTTGGGGTGGGTGCCACGGGGGTCTAACCACCTTCTGAGGATATGGTTGGAGCCCTAGGGTATGTACTATAGGGTATCAAAGCAACACTGGAAATTGTGTGATGATTTTTGGGGTCATAGCAAACACGCAAACACATGTGAGACAATCCCTTACACTTCCTCTCGCCCAGATTTCGCCCACAGGTGTGATGGAAAGAGAATTGCACACAACGAGTACCGCAAGAGTGATGTACATGGACCATACCTGGCCAACAATTGTATCCAAACCAATGCAATGATGTCGATTCATATACTGTACCACCGCTCGTTGACCCGGGTGGATCCCTCTATGAATCGACCACGGGCGTAGGTCATGGCCATCGATTAGTAGTTGTGGGGTTCATCTATCCAGAACATGTTGAAAAGGTATCTATTTGAAGGCTATGCGCTTCAGAGTCTTTTTTTTCAAGTCTTGGTCAAGAACAGTCAATATATGATCAACATATCATCAACCCATTCAACAACCACAATTGCCTAGGACCAATGGCCGTAGGCTTGCAGAAGCACAATATCCACTTCAAACACGGACGAACATGGCCGGTGCGGCCCTCAAAGAGGGCATACAATTCAATCTTTCTGGGCCATTTATATATTTTGACATGGGTTGGTCAAATCGCCCCATCTTTTGGGAAGAACAATGGATGGCATCCATGTTGATGACATTTTATGACAGCTTGTGCAGCTTGTGACTGGACATGTGCAGATTGAACTCGTCAACCGGGAACGTTGGATCTTGTTGCTCGGAACATATGTCTCCATCTCCAGATGCTCTGCGTCAGCTGAATCTTGAGAAAGACTTCCCACACAGTGTTTGTTGATGAAGTCAACTTTCCACGGGTCTTGTTTACCAGGAGATGCCATGAGACTCAGCATGAATGGGCTAGACCAAACGCTGTTGGTTTGTTCTTTTCCCTCTCGGAGACCTGACCAGGAGCTCTTTCATTTCGGCCTCAGATGCTTTCGCCTGCTCCTGGCAACCACTTCACACTGATCAACAGGACCCCAGAGTCGGATGAAGGTCATGGCTGATATTCTCTCAAGTAACACACGCAGCGCTGGCGCGTGAGACTAGATGGTGTACCGACAAAATGGATTAAATGGACAGCTTGCGTGTTGGACGTTGGAACTGGATTCACCACACAGTGTGGACCAGGTCGTTTTGTATCTCACCATACATTAAAGTGACGAAAAGCAAAGAACTCTGCATGCAAGGGTTGCCAAGAGTCGGCTCCAGCCATTCTGGCGGTGTTCCTTCAAACCATTACTACCTAATGACATCAAATGGTCCCGGAAGATGAAAGGACCGAGGAGTGAACACAGTTCAACCCCCTGGCCCATGGGTAGGCATGGAAATTCCGGGCCCATGACCCATGTATTTTTCTATGTTTGGCATATTAACCATGATCATCATTGACCCCTGAAGACCTATGTATACTTACATTGAAGTGGTGATACACTCCGACTCAATCACCTGGAAGTGGAGTTCACCCCCCCATGTGCGTAGTCGGACAGTCGTCTTCCTTTCATCATGTCCAGTTCCATGTTTGACACTTTCCATTTCCCAGACACTCCATGTATGCCATATATGCCCTCATTGGGGTGGTTTTGGAGGTCTATGGAGCGGCGTATGTGGCAGTCCCACGGAGTGTCTGGGTTTTCTATGTCGCATCATGTCGAACAGTATCCAATATATATATATATATACCCTAGGGATCCGGTCGTACCTTCTCAGAAGGCACGACCGGACCCTCCACAGCCACCCCAGTCCCACCGTACCTGAGGTTCGGTACAACTGGATCCCTAGGGCTTGGGGACCTCTCTTAGAAGCAAAATGTGGCTTTCAATCCGGCTGAGACTCGAACATTATCGAATATATATATATATATATATATATCCCATCTATTTTCGGTGGCCTCGTTTCCCGGGGCGTCCACGATCACCGGGGGCGGTCCCTCCTTCTCTGCGTCGGTGAAGTCGCGCACCTGGCACCATCGACCTAGCCACCTTTTGGGAGTCCCTCTTTGCGACGCATCAAAAGGTCACTGGGCAAATACATGCAATGTGGATCCTGAATCCACCCAAATGAGATGAATGGATCTTTTTTCTCGACATTCCCACATTCCACATCAACTTGATCTGAGTTCCATGTCGAAGTGGTTCGCAAAGCCCTTCTTCACCGCGTCTTGCCGCTCCAAGAAAGATACACCCCTTTGGAACGCTTGTTGATTCATTCCTAGTAGCTTCTTGCTCCTAGTAGTAAGGCCAGGAGCCATAGCTTCTTGTTACTAGTAGCGATGCCAGGAGCTACTAGTAACTTAAATTAGTAGCGTCCTTCCATGGATTTTGAGCGCATGGTTGCAACCAACAAAGAACGGCCTATAACGGCATTCGTTCACTGAACAAATACCTTTGACAACAATTGTACGGCTTTAACATCCAGTGTACAAATAGACGTTCCACCTAAACTCTTGGAAGGTTCATTGGAGGTCTTCGAGGACTTGGGGATAGTTCATTGGCCCACGACCATCGTGAGACGTTGTCTAGTCTATCGAAGTGTCTGACGCAACGTACATGGCTGGGTCAGCGAGTCCACCATTTAAAAGAGATGCAAGCGTGTGCGCCACACAATTTGTCTATTGATGTCTATGGGTCTGTGTTTGTTGATTCAACGTTCAGCAGTAGAAGTCACAAGTTAAGCACTGAAAGCCGCACAAAGGATCTCACCCGACCTTGTTTAACACCTCTCATGTGGGTTGCCATGCTATTATGTGCACATGAATGACCAACAACAAATACACCATCCTGATGGTTTGCACGTGCATGTTCGAAGAGGACAGCTGACTCTTCATCATCGGACCCGGAGTGTGGTATATCATATGTGGAAATCAGTGGAAATCTATCAGAGCAACTTCCTAAACGACTAACATCATAATCATAACAACAGGGCACTTGGGGATCCAAACACAACATCATAACATATGGTCGGATCAAATTCCTCTGTCAAACATGGATTCTTAGTACCTCTCAACCAAACTGGTCCGTTCTGTAGCACTTATAGTGACCCAAAAGATCCAACTAGTCACCTGGGACACCCCTGAGAGTCCAGTCATGACTCATGACTCACCCCGAACTGGTAGTGGTTACCAGGTGGAGTAATTAAAATGCCCTAAGAATCCGGACCCGAACCAACACATAGGGTTTGCTTCGGGCCACCCCTGCGTTTTGGAGGTTCGTCCGACCCCTGAGAGCCCGGACTCGGATTCTTAGGGTCAACACCGAACGACCGAGACCGACGACGGCCCCACCTTCGGCTTCGCCCGATGGAGGTTTGGGCGCGACGCCTTCGCGGGTTCCGCGTCCGCTTTGCTCCGCCTCGGGCGCACGGATCACTGGTCACGAGGTACAGTACGGTCGTGCAGTCTACTTCCCTAGGGATCCACATACCGAACCTCAGAAGGTACCACTGGGCCCGAACATGGCGCCTACAGAAAAAGTCTCCGTCCTCACCGTACCTGAGAAGGTACTTGGATCCCTAGGGCTTGGGGACCTCTCTTAGAAGCAAAATGTGGCTTTCAATCCGGCTGAGACTCGGTCAATCCTGAACACCACCGAAATCAATGGAACAAACACGGTATACAACTCTACCAGGACCTTCCAACAGGTGGTTTTTTGGACACCCCTTAAGCTTTAAGAGGCTATTTATAGACACATCTTGGAAGGTCCTGGTACAAAAACACATCACCAACCCCAAAAAACATACTTTCGGGTCTTCTTTGGATCTTTTCAACCCAACGATCGACTGTGTTCAACAACCACAAACGCTGGCGGACACCATGTCGACGAGTGGCGTGGCTGGCCACGACGAGCGTCGGACGCGGCGCCTGGCGAGCCAGTCGCGCAAGTCGCTTCGGCAGTGGTTGGAACCCCAGGTTCGTACCTCATGTTGAAGCCCTTCCTGTTGGCATGTCATGACTCATGACCCATCTTTACTAAGTTGGTCATGGCTGGTTTTGGCGGTTGCTCACATGAGGTTAACACAGCAAGCAGATCTTACAGTTTTTGGTGCGCCAGAAGGCCAGCAAAAAGGTCCGGCCTCTTCGACGAAACATCAGATTTGTCCCCCCAAAGATCTTTGATCAATTCATATTCAGTTCCCTTCTAAATTGAATTCTGCAACAGGCCAGGCTGTCACAGCGTTGACCTCAACTGGACACACATAGAGTGACTTCAACAAACACCCCTGTGACAAATGGCGAAGACCAATGGTGCAGTGTATGTGTCTGGGTCGAACATCTCTGGAGTCAAAAACAATTCCCTCTGTTTGTCTATTCAGTTTCCACTCCTTTTGTTTTCCCCGAGACCAAGAAGGAGTCAGACATGGATCAAAAGCGTCCCCTTCAGAGCACCATCTCTTCAGCCCTTTTCAACCGCCGCAGAAATGCGCAGGTTCTTCCAGCTCCGCTCCGCCGGCTCCGCCCCCCCCCCGTTCCGGGCCAAAGAGTGTAGGAGAGGGCGAAGGTCACAAGGACCAAGAGCTCCTTGGAATCCGTTCGCTGCACAAACCGAACTGGGGAGAACCGCAGCCATCCGCAGGATACCGCATCATGGTGATGCCGTCGATACCGCGGAAACCCAGTTCGGGGCATCCAACCCGACTCCATGGTCTTTTGTTGCACAACACCGAAGATCCCATCCTACTCTCATGGACCAGTCCACCCATCAGTCCACCTCATCGCACGCCAAATGGGCCCTGAACTCAGGCTTTCACCGCCCAGTGCATGCACCGTCCTGAATGAAGGCGGTGTCATAGAGGGCCTCCGCCAGGCGGCCCAGATCACCTGGGCTCATCAAAACACGCCCCAAAAAAGATCCGTGGAGATTGAACGTTAATCTTTTTTGGAAGGAAGAGAGACTTTGCCGCCACGCTCGGTCGATGGTTTTTGGGCTCCTGAAGCTCACCTGTTGTTTTTTTCAGGTTGAGCGACAATCTAAAAATCTTTATCATATAGACGGGCGATCGCAGCGAACTGAGGCCACTCCCAACACCGCATCCACACATGTCAGTCCGATCTCACGATGGCTGTGTCAACCGCCGCAAGTCCGTAGAAAACAATGCCCTTTACGGCTTATACGACTTATCCTTCTCATTTGAGCCGTTCAAACCAACCTCCAAAGAAAGGGTGTTTGCTTGGATCAACTGGACTGGTTAGGAGCGGCCCGGCCCAAGTCCCAAGTGAGGGGCTTGGTGACCTGAAGGATCCTGAAGGTTTCACTCTCCAACACAACAGCCAAACAAACGGTGTCCTCCACTCAGGCCAAACAAACTGCTCGAGGGTCCATGGTCCGTCCGGATCCCAAGGTGACCGGTCACTGGATAAACATATAGCAGCCAATAAGCAAACGATCATGATGCGTCGTTTAGGCAGATGTTCATGGCTGGAGAGTGATCATATGGCCTGACTCTGCAGGGGAAAACCCCGTTTGAGGCAATCAAACATCTTCCCCACTGTTCAAAGTAGTGGGAGAACCGATCCCCCAACAAAGCCAACAAAGGAAGGTCAATTATACGATACACCCCAAAACGGTTTTGAAACAAGTGAAACCAATGTTGCCCTCCAAAAGAGGTTTTCTAGTTGAACAATTCACTAGATCCACCACACGGGCTGGGTCGAAATATTGAACAGTCGATTCCTCCCTTCCCTCCATGGGTTTCGTCCGCGCGTTTCGTCCGCTCAAACACGCAGGGCTCACTGGCCGCCATCGCACCGTTTTCGGATAAAAATCGTTGATGTAGACTGGCACGGGCGTGGCGTGACGACGCCAGGGGCCACCATTGACATCGTGGTCCCAGCGGCCTTTTTTTTTACAGCTACTGGTAGGTGTGTAGGGCAGTGTAGGGGCTGCGTGACCCTTACAACCTTGGGACCTTGGAACAAATGTTTAGTGAGGAATTGGGTTTGCACAGTGGATTGCAATTAACAGTACCCCGGGTGACCTATAGTATAGTATAGTGGCACATGTATCCGCAAATCGACTGGGTTTGTGTTTCCGTGGGTGTTCAGGTCAGAAATTCAAGAAACAAGTGCAAGTTGAGATAGAGTTGAGACATGTTGAGACCTCTTGCTTGGGTGTTTGCGGCAAAAACAGACCATGGCCTTTACAAAGGTTATTTTCAACATGGTTGGTATCTTCTCGTGCCCTATTATATACTTGGCCTATGCCTTTGGTTCATTGTCATTCGTTCAGCCGGTCAAGCAAGACTTAGTGCAAACAGGTCCTTGAATTGTTTTTTAAGGTGATGTTAAACTAGATGCATTTGCCTCTAGCGGTGGTTTAGCTGTGGACACTCTTGCACGACACTCTTGTCGGACACTCTTGTAGGACGGACACTCTTGTAGGACACTCTTGTAGCACACTCTTGTCGGGCACCTTTTCGGGCATTCTTGTAGGAGACTCTTGTGGGACACTCTTGTAGGACACCCTTGTCGGACACTCTCGTGGGACACTCTTGTGGGACACTCTTGTAGGACACTCTTGTCGAACACTCTTGTGGAAAAGTCTTGTGGAAAAGTCTTGTGGGACACTCTTGCGGAACACTCTTGCAGGCCTCTCTTGTGGGACACTCTGGTGGACACCCTTGTAGGACCCAGGACACAGCAAAGTTTGCACCACACCACGTTCTGAGCAAACTCCCACCCACAAAAAAACGCAACTTTAGCTAAGACTCCTCACGAAAACACAGCTTCGAAGCAACAGCCTGAAACGCAAATCGCAATTCACATCCGACACAGCCAATCCCAATGTGACTGCGCCGAAAACTACCAGTCTCACAAAATGCTGCGCCTGCGCAGTGAATTCATCCTCCACACTTCGTCCTCTCGCATTTCCACACGTTTCCTCGTTGTTTTAACACGAACCTGACACGTCATGCTTCCGCCCAAAGCCGTCTCCAAACGCATCGCCCAATGTGAGCGCCATATAGCGCCCCACGGCGAACGGCTGCGAATGCTCCGACAACGAGTCGCGAACAAGGCTCTACCCCCAGACCCCCAGAGTTTGCTACGCATTCGGGGAAAAAAGGTCGAATGTATTTGCTATCAGGTTGGAGGCCATCGCTAGTAGGTTGGAGGCCATGGTTATTAGAAACAACCTTGCTAGTCGATCTGCTTCTTCCGATGAGCCCTTGTCCGCTGTCCCTTCAAGTGTATATATATATATATATATGTATAGATATGCTGCTCCCCCCCAAATGTCTACCGCTAGCTAGCATGTTTTTTACCCTGCGTTGTCCTGTAGTTTAAGCGCATTAATTTATATAAGCAGAATGGCTGACCAATGCACACAGATCATGAAATATGTTTCCCAAGGTTGGGAAATTAGAGAACAAGGATTCATTCCAGTTCATACTGTTAGTAATATATAATATGTGTATTTCAAACATTGGGATTGCAATTCCAAGTATGAATCTCGTGGTGCACAAGTGTGAAGACCCCCAAAAAAACAAAACAGTTTACATAAGCAATTGTGAACATGACACTGAACAAGAGTATATATAAGCACTCAAGCTTATACTGTCGGTTGCACCCAGTGCAATTGCACGTATGATAACTGATGAATACAACTCATTATATCAGTTGTTTTTTGCACTATGACATTACATAGACATATACATGTGTGACAGTCGAACTAGAACGTTGACCTGCATGCTTTGTTTTTGTGACTATCACCGGTAAAACGTAAATTCACAGAACTGTTTGCGTGCATGACAGTTGATAGTATCATAGGTTAAGATTGCAACTCAAGATTGCAACTCACATTGTCAAGTTGTCAAGTGTTTACAACGCACATGTGCATATGAGAATTGCTGAAGACAACTGATAATGTACATTGTTAGCCTTCTCATACCGTCAGCTGTACCCAACGCAAGTGTAAGGATGAGAATTGACGAATGCAACTCTCACATTGAAGTTGAAAATCCAAACACATAAACTGATTATTTGAGAACTGTGACAACCACTGTTAAACATAAGAATTGACAGGCTCACTTGTGATTGTGACTTCTCATACTCACACAACGGTTATGTCGGGACGTGACTCCAGATAATCGTTCGCTCTCCTCCTTCCCTCCGCCTGTACTAGGTTCATAGATTGATATCTTGATATATCAAATCATCAACCACCGAAAAGTCTATAGTCTATAAATACTTCATTTCACCAAATCGGACAAATGTTCATTAACTCTCTGTTTTTCTCCTTTCATTTCAATTATCTAGGGTACTTCTCTCCAGGTCTGTTGAGGATCTGTTTTCCTCTTCGAGCCGCTGCAACCCAACTGCTCACAGACTACGGTACTCGTTGTGTCAGAGACCGAGCCACCCAAAATACTCATTGGTGAGAGGGACCCATCACCCTTGAGTGTGGTTCGTTTAAGGGAGGCCGCTTGAAAGAAACCACAACAATGATCAACAATGACAGCACAGTGCAAAGATCTGAAAAGACCAGTAATATTGTTCACGTAAAAACTCCCTTGGACGAAGTCGGCAAAGACAGGAGTCTTCCAAGTAAAGCATCCATTCTTGCCCCGGCAGCGCTGGTCGCGCTGGTGGCGCTGATGCTGGTGGTGGTGGTCTGTGCGGTGGTCTCTGCTGCGCGCTGGGCTAGGCTGGATGAGTAGATACTTGAAGTTGCAACTGGATCTGAAGCTGCTCTGTCCTGGTGTATTGCAAAAGGGACTCGAGATAGGCTAAATGCCAAGCACAAACTCGGGAGCCATACAATGCAAAGCGCAAAACTTGGGTGATGCAAGAATCTGGTGTCAAAAAAGGGGTCAAACACGTATATGAATATGTTCACAGAAACCGATGCTCTGATGCAAGGACGTCTTCTCAAAACAAACTGACCGTGGCAATGCTCGGATGCAAAAGTGGACAAAAAGTAAAAGGTTTGCACTGACACTCTGATGTTTTGCATTCAAAGCGGAAAAGCGACACAGATGGGAGGTCGTGCCGCTAGATATACAAATACTTTGCACTAACAAAGCTTCAGATAAACAGCATGAAGATACAAAGGCAAACAAATGATTGTTAAAGTTCATGAGTATAGGGATGTTGGAAAACGGAACTAACAAGAGCCAGAAGAGTATGAAGGGTATAGATGTTGAAAGTTTGAGTGAGGCAGTGTATATCAAAATCTGATGATTAGATTGTATTTTATGATACCGAGGATTTAGTTGCAATAACGAATGAAACATAATCAGGTGCAATGCTTATGATGATTTGAAGGATGTCACAATCACAGACACTTTAAGTTTGGGGATTTCACATAGTATTACATTATTTAAGTTAAACAGAAACAGCCACCAAAAACGTTACTCTAACTGTATCTTTTGCCAGACACGGGACAATGCCGTGGAGCTCTGACAAAAAGACTATCAAGCATTGAAAGATGGCTTCTAATGCGGCAACGTTCTTCATAATTTGATTGGTATTGTGGCATGTTTGGGGGAGGCATGATCCAAGATTCAAAGGTTTAACATGTCTAGAAGACACTCCAATGCTCACAAAAGGGGTAGACTTTTCAGTGAGGTACCATATATATATATATGTATATATCATATATGCCCATAACAAGGGCAATCATGTTTGGAGCCTCACGCTTCGGCCATTTACGAAAACAATTAAACATACTCCAAGGCCAAACAAACTACAACAAGAGTCTTTCAAATCTTCAGTTGGAGGCCATCGCAATTAGGCTGGAAGCCATCGTCTCACCATTTGACATTCTTCCAAGAATCTATGGGTTTGTCATGGTTTGTCCTACGAGTACCTATATATATATATATATATTTGGAACACAATTGCAATTGATGGGTGTTTTGACATGCTCGGACAGCAATGTTCGGACATGTTTAGACTATTTTGGAACGCTTTGAGTACCCACTGGGGATCACCCTCTCAAAGGGTGGCTGTAAAATGCAGTGGATTCAGGGTGTAACCTCACGGTCACGGGTGCTTTCTTGGGGTCCGTAGTTCAACAAACCTGTATTTGGGTCTGTGAACCACATAAACATCCGCAACCAAAATGAACATCCGATCAAAAAAAACACGTTCGGGAAAAACACCTGTGGCTCACCAATAAACGCCCGTAGCTAGTGTAGAAATGCCCGTGAAATATCTGAAACAGATCAAACATCTAGAGAAACATCCGCAGACTCAACATAAGGCTGTGACTCCAAAATATGTGTTTCACGCCACACATGAATTATGCACTCTGAGGAAGCTCCAGGTATATATAACATGCATAGTAATCCAGTATTATACAGTGTTGGTCTTTTCATGTCTTTTATTCGAACCCATCGGCGCCAAATCTCCCATCTCCCCATCGAACCCCCCCCCACCTCGCTTAGACCGTGCCCCGCAGTGGTCTTCCGCGGGTGAACCTGAGGGTTACGGCCCCGACGGAGTCTCCGTTTTTTCATGGCACGCAGTGGGCCGCAAAGACTGGAGGACATGTCAGAACTGGCACTCAGCCGGTACTTCAGAAGCTGCAAGAAGCGGCATTGGTCCTCTCAAACAAGAGACTCTGCGCCATATCATTTGGGTGTGTATTCAAATAGGAAGACCTCCCGGTTCGACCCCCTGGAAGGGAAATAGACCAGTCTACCCATTGGTTGGGGGTCCCCCTATCCAAATACCACACCCAATTGGTTGTTGACCAGACTTGTCGAACAGCACGCGCGCGCGGTTGACTCCCAGGCTCGGTTCTGGACATGCAGTCTGGACCAGGTCTCAAACTAGGACACCAATCTACGGTGTGCCTCATGAAAAATGCTGCGTGTATAACCATCTTGGAGTCGATCTAATAATATGAACCAATCCAATAACAATCAAATGATATCAGATGTCCATTGGTTTCGGATTTTCACCGATTCTATCTACTCCAGGATGACTACAATTTGTTGATTTGGTCTGTTTTTGGATTCAAATCAGAAAAAATAGAACAAACAAAACCGCCGGACATCAGCTCTAGAGAAAAAAGAGCAAATTCAACTCAGCCAGCAGTTCCAAATTGGGGTGCTTAACATATGGAGGAAGTCGGGGTGCCCGACTTAACCACTGGATGGGTCTTATTGAAAAAAACACCTGGACTTGGAACTCCTGGAGCTGCTGATTTTTGCCTTTCCAAAGGATCCCAGCGATCCAGTTCCGATGGAATATTGTTCCAACCTTGAGACGTCCGGTGGACGTGAAGAAGCAGGACGTGAACACCGCGCTCTCCTCCAAAAAGAATCCATTTGATGGATTCTTTCTCAGGCCCAGGAGTTGCTGGCTTACAGCGCTCGACGAACGGATGGGGCTGATTCTGACCGTGCTCGACTAAGGGCCGTGGGGGCCGTGTGGAAGCACGAAGCACCCTGAGGGGGACCCCTTTGGATTGGCTGTGGTGTTGCTCTTTCCAGCCCCGGATTGTCCTTCGAAGGGTGTGGAATCACACCGCAAACGTGGTGGTGAAAACCCCGGGTGCCCGGACGAAACAAATGGAAGAACGTCGCGCGTGGTGTGAGAAACACGGAGGATAGAACGCTAAGCTTTGAATGTTCGAGCCGGAAAGCAGGCGGTTTTGGAGCATTTCCAGTAGCCTGTGACTGAGAGGTGCTTCTTAATGCAGGAAGAAACACATGTGCAGTGCACATGTTCCTGAACACAATAGGGACAAATGTGCATTGTGCAGCTCTCATTAGCTAGTCAAAGGTCACTGCTCACCTTGGGCTGGTGCTTAAACTTCCCCTGGCCACATTTGCCTTACACCCTTTGCCTTTGCACAAAGCAAACTCACATGCAAGTCCCTGGGGATCCAGTCGTACCTTCTCAGACCGCACGACTGGACCCTCCAAAACCACATAACACTGTCTCCCTGCTCACCTACTGAGAAGGTACTTGGATCCCTAGAAATTGATAAGCAATTTTTGACAAGGACACATCCCATGAAAAAAAGAACTATATATATATTAATATATATATATATAGAAGAAAAGACAAGCTTGAAGCCTTCGGACGTCCTGGAACATCGTTCCCTTCTTTCTCCCTTTTTCAGGGACACTCCAGGCGATCCCGACGGACCCGCCACATTGAGTTCGGCGATTCCGACGAACTTGACGGCTTTCAGATGATCGAACACCGTGAGGCGTGCTCCATTCCCACTCCATTGGGGGTGGCTGAAAAGGGATCAAAACGTAGGGAGAAAAAGTGGTGTGTCAAAGCCCAGGCTCCCTACCTTCGGTTCCAAAGAGTTTTGACTCAAAACGCATCTCATTGCCATGGATTCATACATGGTGTGTCTGGGTGAGGCGCCACTCTGTCCGGTTGGTAGAAATCCCAAGCTTTCATAGACTGATCTGGGGAAGTGAAATGAAAACGTGTCTCAAAGGTAGTGACAAAACAATAACTACTATCCGAAAACGTTCAGAAATGAGAAAGAGGTGGGCACAACGCATGTATCACAACGCAAAAGCCTTGTACAGTAGTTTATTGGACATGCGGTCAAAAGAAATCCAACCACATGTTCTGGTCCATGACCCTTCGACAAAGTTCAAGATCCAACCATTCAAACAAATATGGGCAAGGGCTGGGCTGCCCAAAGTGTGTCTTGCGACCCCACCTCGACAGCAAACCTACCTCCATGCTCGCACATGCTCGCACCATTTTGCCCCAGGAGCCGTCTGCTCAGCGTCTGCTCGTCTGCATGGCTTCCTCGGCGCTCTCGGCTTCCTAGCCGCAGCAAGGGAACTTGCCAACCAAGTTCCTTCATGTCCAACGCTCCGCTCTTTCTGGGATTCCCCAAAGATTCCAAAACAACATATATCGAGTCCGCATCAAGTCAGCCCCTAAAAACAAAACAAAGTGTATATATATAATTAAATATATACCCAATGGAACAACCTAGCAACCTAGCAGGAAAAGCAATCTAGCAGGAAAAGCAATTTGCAAACCTCTGACCCCTCAGTTTCCCTGGAAGTTAGCTATTGTGTTTTTGTTCCATCTCTTCATATCTAGTGGGGAAATGAATCCACCAAAAATGGTTAAAGGTCATCCACTTTTCCTGGGTAGGACCTCTTAAGTTGAAGTGAAATCCCCATGTCCATCCTGTAGCCGGATCTTGGCAGTGAAAAAAGAAACACCAGGGGCCAAAGGGGCAGTGGAGGACGGTACTGGCGCACCATGACCCATGCCTCAAAGAAGACCCATTGTGGAAGAAGACCTCGTGTACCTTTTTCCCGATGTTGGGCTTTTGTTGGCGCCCAAGTACTATACACATGTCCTTTGCATATGGCAAGACGAGGTGACGCAAGCAGTAAACCTGGCTTCCAAAAGGGCAAACTGGTGGTTTTCACTTGACAAGGACTGGCTGCATGGCTGATGTGCAAACAAAACAGTTGTAACATTATCCAAAACCTCCCCCCATTCAACAAAGCAAAGGCAAAACCCCCAGCGGAAACTTGCCTTTTGTGACACACAACGTGGCTGTCGGTCCAGACTTGGCAAAGACGGTTAATGCCAATGAGAATGTTGCTGGGCATTCATTCCACCAAACAGCTTCAACCAGTGTTATCCCACTTCTTTCCAGGATGATCAACTCATTCACAACAGTCCATCCCCAGGCCATCCCCACTGCAGCATCTGGCCGTTTTCTGCATTAGCCAGCTGTCCAAAGTCCTAAATGTCTTGCATCTACTCCCGACCCACCAAGTGGAAGATGTAGACCAATGACTACCCATCATGCTCTTTGCCCCTCCCATCACTGTCTGTTGGTGGGTGGGGAGTAGATCCAAGTCTGTAGTGTCAATGGACAAGACGAACTGCACCATAGATGGAGATACCCATACCAAGGTCCTTGATCAATAAAACGAATCTGCAGCGGTCCCAAGAGAAACTTTCAAAGCTTGGTGCTCCCAATAGCAAAAGCATATTTTCTACGGATGCTTTCGCTTCTCTCCATCAACAGTGAAATCTGCACGCTCCCGCTGTACCAGCTAGATTACAGGCTGCAATCATCGGGCCCCCCTGTACAAGTACCACAGGTGCATCCCGGCCTGCCGGCGTTGTCGGGCTCGCTTGCATGCCGGCCCGCACAGAATCCCATCAAAGCATCTGAATCCCAGGTCGCCCAAATAAAATATAAAAGTATTCTCCTACTATGTCCTACTGCCGTTTACCCACCATGGACAAAGGCCTTGGTAGCCTCTGGTAGTGGCCAAGTACCCCTGAACAAGTCCACTGTCTATAAAGATGCCTGCAAAAAGGAGCACGTTGTGCAGCAAAGCTACCAAGCACTGCACATGCTGTGGTTCTTGTCTCGAGTACCCAGGGTCGAGAGGGGCAAAGCATGATGCTCTATGCCAGGCCCCCCTATCTCTAGGCTACTAGTAACAAGGACGCTATTAGGTGGAGGCCATCGCTACTAGGGTGGAGGCCATTACTACTAGGAAAAAGAAGCTACTAGTAACATGTTAATATTTGACACCCCCAACCGGAGAGGGCCCATGTAGGATGTGTCTCCATGGTTGGTGGAACGTTGATGCCATCCTCTCCGGATGGCTCTTACACTGTTTTGTGAAGCCTTAGGCTTCTAACCACCAAACATTTAATAGGCTTTACCGAACCAGCATTGTTTTACCGATTTTGCACTACGAAACCAGGTCGACCATATTTGGCGTTGGAAGAGTATATCGGGTGACGACTGCACGGCGAACTCCGCGGATGCGACTCCGCGGAACGAACCGCGACTCCGTTGCTCAGCGGGCGAAGCAACAAACACTTGGCCGAAGAAGGGCGGTGGATGTAGGGTCCTTCAATGAAACAAAGAGAAATTGAGTCATTATATCCACATTTTGCCACCGGTTTCAAACTGTTACCAGTATGTGACTGAAGCTACCTGCCAATGGATCTTCAGAAACAAGAGACACAAAATGATCAACATGTTGCTCACTTTTCCACTGATCGGCCGGCCTATGTATCAAGACGTAGGCCGTTCTCTCACGGCCTTCTATGTGGACCTAAATAATGACGCTGGTTGACTATGTCTGCATTGACCCGAATCCACCCAGAAAAGACTCGGAACTCGCCTACAAACAGTCCAATAGCACCATCTTCACCTCGCTCCGCTCGCCCTCCGAGTTCTGCTCGCTCCGCTGCGACTCCCGCTCGAGCATGGCAACCAAGAGGTTTGCACTGGAGTACCTGAGTCTTCGCTCTCTGTGTACGGGATAAACGTTTCGTAGGCACAGAATGCTACTGTATAGAAGTTCAACATTTGATAGCCTAAGTTTTTTTTCACTTCGTGGCCGAACGACCTTTGAAGAACCCGTGATGACCTTTTTGCGCCTGGCTGTGACCGAACGACCGAGCGAATCAAGAACCAGGAGCGTAAGATGATCAGTGTTTGTTTTCGAATCCTGGAGGTTCATTCCCTCCAAACCTGGACGCATCAAAGACTTCATGTCAGTTGTGCAGATCGACGTGAGCGTGAGCGCGCAGAACTGGAGAAGAACTCTGACTGCAATCCCGGGACTCGAGTACCTTCTCAGAAGGTACTTGGACCATCTTGGACCCTCCAAACCTACATAATAGTGTCTCCTTTGACCTTATGCCTTATATGCCTTATGACAAGGTACGGCTGGATCCCTATAGGGAATGGAGAACCTGCTTCAAAAAGTTGCATGAGCCACTGAGGTACCTTGCGCATGCCGCTGTTTCTTTTGCACAAACAATTGTGCTTCCAAACTCTTTGGAGATGTTGACCCCCCCCAAAAAAATAGAATGGTGTTGTGGTCTTTCCAGTGTTTCATATATTGCAGTAACCACTCAACCAGTGGATGAAAAAGGCCCACCTCCTCTCGGCCTACGTACAGATAGCAGCTTGAAAGGGGGGATGCACGCTGGAACAATGTCTCATCTTCTTCTGTTCCCCCGTTATCTCCAAAAGCCGCACGGTGTGCTTAGTCCTTCTCAAGTGATCTGAGATCATGTCAGTTGGGAAGTCTTTCGTGGAAACGAACAAAGAGCGTCCTGTTTAAATCGGTCGACGGCATTCACCGGTGACGAAGGCGCTGGAAGGTGTGGTAGAGCACCAGCCCCAGGAAAGGCACATAGAAGGCCGCCAAGACCACGGTGCCAAAGCCGCAGAGATACCAGCCGTGTTGGTAGACGAAAATCCTCAGTCTTGGGGCGTTTTTCATTGCAGTTCTCTGATTTCCCTTGACCAGATGCTGGCTTCGAATATTGCTGTACCACCTGAGATAGGCAAGAAACACTCGGTAGTTCCAAGGTGTTTGAGGAGTCAATGAGATTGATCGAATCATCGCTTCATGTGGATGACATGACATGAAGCGCAGAGAACTGGCAAAACCACTTCGTTCCTGACCCCGAAGGCAAACAGCCAAAGTACTTTGGGACATTGGAACATGACACTTGTACTTCTATTCATATTCTGATGTACGAACTGAGACTCAAGCGGCTTGGGGTGTCAGTTTTGGGTATATAGATCTTGGGTCAACAATGCCCGGCTCCACACAACAAATGCCATACCAAACCAAAAAGGCACGGGATCTGGCGTGAGTCAGGGTTGCACCTTTACGCCACTGGGTCCTCGCACCACTGCCTGTCCCCTTGCACCACCGGTGTTTCCTCACACCACCGGTGTCAGGGTTGTGTGTTTGCCAACTGCTTTTCTCCAAGCCTCCTCTCTTGCCGATAGCTCAGCCTGTACGTGTATTCGCCTCACCCGCAATCAAGTGAGGCCAGCAACAAACACGCAAGCTCCATACCAAAACCAATTTTGAACCATACCTTAGCCTTAGGAACATTCCTTAGGCCAAACCTGAAAAACAACCACTAAGCCCTATGAGATATGAGAAAGAGGGGTATGTATAGTCCCCCTAGAGTTCAGTTGTTCAGACTCACAGTTTGACAACAGCCCGAGGGTCCGAGACATGATACTTCCCTTGCAAACGGCCACGTCACTGTGACGCGCGAGGTCCATGAAGCCATGTAAGACTCTTCTCATCTACCACCCAGTGGTCATCTGCAGGAGATTGATTTTCGAGAGCGACCACACACCCGAACCTTCCTGTTGAAGGTGTCCCAAAACTCAAACAGCAAATCAGTATTATGATAAGATAACTAAAAAAAACATAAGACAACTCCTAAACTCTAAACATTTCTGTCTAAATAAACTATATATTGTATTTAATAAGATTTAATACTGTAAGCAAGTGTGTGCTACCCTTTCTAGGATTTGAGCAGATTGTTTGATCACAAATCATCTGAGTCATCTTCATCGCCATCCTCGGGCACAGGTCTGTTTTATTTGCCCTCTACGAACAAACTACACAGGAACTTGTGTGCAGCATCTCTGCAACTCTTATGACTCATAAGTGCAACCCATCTTCATTGCTCCAAACTGACATGGCAACTCACATGTTTGCAATTTGCAATCGTTTGCCATAGCAAATTCAGTGCGCAGGGTATATGAGAAAGGTACATTGACTCTCTAATTCTCCTGGGTCAGTGGATCACTGCGTTGCCCCGCAGGAAAACCTACAAGAAACGTCCCTTTCCCCCAACAGCTGGTTTTCCTAGATATCTAGCTTTTTCACGGGTTTCCACGTCCACCTTTGATGGGATTCAACAGAAGGCAGCCGAGATCTCTTGGAGCCTGGAGACCCAGCAGTTCAGTGCTCAAAGCGGTGGAAGCAATGTACCACTCATAGAAACGCAGAAACAACGTGGCCACGCCCACGTTGTCGAACATGAGGTAAGCCACCTGACTCGTGGTGCCGTTTTTTGACCAAAGAGATGGGTGTAGAGTTAGTAGAGTTCATTCCCTCCAATGCAGATCTGAATTCCGAACCTTTTGTATGTAGGCCAATCGTCGGATCCCAGATGTAGGTGTGTGTGTAGAAACATGTACAAACTTTCATAAATCGAACCTGGTGCATCAGGCTCCAGAAACAAGGGCTGGGTCAAAACCTATCGGCGCAAGATAATTCCAAGGGGGGTCCGAACGGAGTGGTGGTTGGGGTAGGGGTGTGGGTGATCCCCTCACATGGGTCTTGACACCAGTGATCAAATCCGAAACAATTCATGCTGGGCGAATCGCGCAAAAGATACGTTTAGCATTTGCGTGTCTTCTTATTTGCTTATTCCTCCTCTTTTTCTTCTTCTTCTTGTTATTGTATTTTTCTTCTTAAATATGATTCTTATTGTTGTTGTTGTTGTTGTTGTTGTTGGTGGTGGTGGTGGTGGTGTGTCCGTTTGCTTGTGTGTTTGTGTGTTTGTGTGTTTGTTTGTTTTTGTGTTTGTGTGTTTGTGTGTTTGTTTGTTTGTTTGTTTGTTTTTGTTGGTGTTGATTTGTTGAATGTGTGTCTTCTTTGTGTATTGTTCTTCTTATTATTATTTGTCATCTTTCATCATATATCTTTGTTGGGGGGGCCTTACAAATTGGAAAGTGTCTTCACCGTTACCTGTCAGGCTTCGGCCATGTTCCAGCCAACGTCTCCGCCATGTCGAAAGGTTCCAACGCTCTGGCTGAGGCACCCCGAGGTTGGCCAGCAACATCAAGAGGTTCTTCTTCTTTGAAAGCCAGGTAAGAAGTGAAGCTGCGGAGCCTCCAAAACGAATGGAAAAGCTGGCTGGCACGTTCCCTGATTGTGTCATGGTGAAACAGGGCTTCAGCTTTGGGTTGGCAAATGCATCTGTACAAGAATACTGGTGTACAAATCTGGGCCTTCACAATCAGGATCAAGAGGTTCGCCTCCCTACTTCCCCCGCCCCCTTAAAAAGGGAGTGGACCCAATGGCGCATGGAACAGGGTGCGCAGCTGTCCAACCCCTGAGATGCACGTGTTGTATCCCCATGGTTTACCTCTAGATCTGTAGGTTGGAGGCCATCGCTATTGGGTTGGAGGCCATTGCTACTATATAGGTAGGATGCTAATGATTTATCCTCTCTTTCCTGGAAGTGGAGGGGGCGCCCTCTGTTTCAGCACGCAGCTTGATGGTCATGTGCGACCGGTCGCAGCCGGATCGCTCAGCTCAAGCTGAAATGAAAGGAGCGGATCGGTATGTCAGTATGTATTTTGCTCAGTATTTTCTGACACAGAGACCAACTCGAGACGCCTCAAATAAAGGAAGGCTTCTTCACAAGTCCTCGAAAAAGGTTGCGTAGGAATCTGATCACTGGAGCAAGCAAGAAACCTCAACCAAAAGAATCAAGACTGAACGAACCAACAAAGCTTGAGCGCAACAACATGTGAATGAATGACCACCAAAGCACAGCAAACAGTAAGTGCACTCTCACCGTCAAATCTCAAAGCGAGGAGAACAGGGAGGGCGAAAGGAAAGCCCACATCATGGACGATTTGTGAATTGTCTGAATTGTGGAAGAAATAAAACAATATAACACACACACACATATATATATGATATTAATAACAATGGCACTAATGAAGGAGTCCGAAGCAAGCACACTAGTAATTGTAGTGATATCCTCTACCACTCTACAAGAGATGCAACTTTGGTCCAGAAAAACAGGGGCCTACCCACCCTTTCCATGCCCCTCAGCTGGCACGTCTTCGCCTCCATCTTCCTGCTTCTTGCCATACCTACATCGAGCAGCAAACACACCCACCCATGCACCCAATGTCAACCCATGCACCCAATGTCTTTCCGGAAATGCGGAACATGCCATCGTGAGGAGCAAGGTGCTCCACGGAACATGCCACCGCAAAATCCACGATTGGCCGATTCATGCCCCCCCCAATGATGGGAGCATCCTCGGCACTCGGGGGGGGGTAGTGGGTAGCCAATGTTTGTTGACCCAGTATTATCCGTCGCCAAGTCCCGTGGAGATGACAAACCTGTTGGCGTTCGTCTTCCGTGGATGATCCCCGAGACAAAGGGCATCCTTACTAGGAACAAGAACGCTACTAGGGGCTCCTGGCCATACTACTAGGAGCAAGGACGCTACTAGCAGCAAATATTTGCTAGTATATTCATAAATCTTCTCCTCCCTGGAGATGACAAGAAGCTGATGCTTCTCCAAAAAAGTGCCAAGAGCCGTGAGCCGGTGGAACCATCGTACGGCACGACGGTGACCGTCGCGTCTTGTCCAACTTTCGCACTTTGAAGACCCCAAGAACTATTGACTTGGGGATCCATGTAGGATGTTGTGAGATGTTGTGAGTCAATAGTTCACTATAACAAAAACAGTGAACATAGTGAACCATTTTTCACCAACCACCTTTGTTCCACGTGACCCCATGGGCATCGCGGATGATTTGGAACCAGGGATAGCATGGCACGCAGCCAGTCCGGTCAACCCAAACCCTTTGGATCTATGCAAAGAACTCCCAAACACTCCAGGTGAGACTGACATATTCACGTCCATATACGTCCATATTTACCTCTACATTCACCCCTGAAATCATGCAACTCATGCAATTAGGCCAGTCCCAGACAGGTCGTGTTTGGGATATCCCACTCACTCCGAAGCGGACGTTTGCGTCCAACCCCTTCACCGTCCAACCAAGGCGCTTGGGATCGGCAAAAACTCGGACTTTCCTTCGCGCCGCTCAGAGCGGGCGAAGAAGCTCGGTTCATGTGAACGGTTCATGCGAACGGACGATATCCAAATCTTGCTCCAACATTTCTTGGCTTTTGAGATGACAGTAGTGTCGGTTTGTTAAGGATCCTCGGAAATACACACAAAAAAACACATCACTGCCTTAACACCAAAAATAAATCGCTGCCTGCACGGTGTATTATAGAATGTGGGATCCAATCACCCACCATTGAAAAACCCTCTTCAAAGGGCACCTCGTGGTTCAAGCAACCCAAAACGGCCTGTTTGGTCGAACGACCAGCGGAGAACGCCCAAACTTTGAGAGTTGCTTTGCAGCCCTCACCTTCAACTCTATTGTTATATATGCAGTGTTTGCACTGGGATGGAGCTCTCCTGCAGCTGTCATTGTACGTTGTCGAGTTCTTTTGCTGAGGCGTGGTTGGTCCGCCTATAAGGGTATCAAATGGCATGCCACAAGGTATCATCAAGAGGCCCAGTTGGCTCAACCTTTGGAATTCCAGGCCGAATTGGAAGGGTACAGGCAGTAGAGGTCAGCTGAACAAAACTGGTGGCCTTTACTAGAAGTCACACTTGGTAACAAAGCATCGATGTGTGGCCACACGGCCAGGCCATCGGACGTCCGGGGCTCGTCTTGGCCAAGAGTCTTGTAGTACTTGGAATACCTCGTCTGCCGAGACGGACATCAGCCAAAGGAGGGTATCAACCCCTTAAAAAAACCAGTCGTACCGAACCTCAGGTACGGTGGGACTGGGGTGGCCAGCTTGGAGGGTCCGGTCGTGCCTTCTGAGGTTCGGTACGACTGGATCCCCAAAAAAAACACGTAATCAAAGTCTTTTCCAGGACCTTCAGTCCGTGACCTCTTTGGAGTCTGTAAGTGACCTCTTCAGGGACTAATCAAAGTCTTTTCAATGGGTATGAATTGCCATCTGTCAGAGCCAGAGTCATATGGTTGTCCCATAATGGTCTTCAATGGCAGGCACACCTCGAGGTGAAACTTACCAAGAAGCATTTGACAACATTTAAAATATTAATTTAACAAAATCCTAGGCACATATGACTCACAATTGGGTTGTATAGGGGTAGTTGTTTGAAGTTTAGGAACATATAGTTCTTTATAAGAATCAGCAGGCCTCAGCAGGCCTGCTAGCAAAACAATCGTTGTCGGCTCGAAGATCGGGCAATTTCTGCCATATGTATTTCCAGACGAGCGACTGGGTATAAAGCACCGTGCAAACGCTCAGCACGTGCTGCAAACGACGGAAACCCATCTTCAGCAGGAAGATCACCACTGAGAGGACCCTTAGGATGCGAGATCAGCACGCGGCGGTGACACGTCATGCGCACTCGGCTGCTGTTGCGGTTAGATGTTTTTGTATGTGTCTGCTTCTTTGTTCAGGAGTGGTTTTTGCATGGTTTTGCGGAGTGTGGAATTGGGTATACCACATTTCAGAGTCTCCCTCTTTATATAGTGTCTTTCTTTGGAGACACTCTCCCTACAAGTCCAAGCTCCAAACCTGGTCCTTCACCTCATTGAGTACTGGTTTTGCATGACTTCCCCGATCCAGTCTTTCATTCAGGTCAGTTCCTGACCTGTCTTCGGGCTCGGATTGTACCCCTTCGGTACAGCCGGTACCACGTACTTCGACTCGGCCGCAGCCTCTGGCCGAGCCGTGCCCCGAGCGGCTCGGACCCAGGTCGACGACCGCGTGAGGGACCGCACCGAGCATCGCCTCGAGGGGACTGGTCCCATAGATGTCGAGTTCCAGCAGCGGAATTCACCCCGTACATGTGCGATGAACGATAGCAAAGACACCCTCCTGCAGAAACCCGTTTTGGTTGTAAAGGTCTGCACTAGGTAAATTCTCAGGGTCGATGTAATTAGTATTAAATAGTCCGTGTCTTGATTGTTCTATCCCCGACCATCCAAACAACACCGTCCAGGACCCAATCAGACACCTCGAGGAGAGTCCCTCCACCTTTCTGGCTCCCAAGTGGCACCAGCTTGCCAATGGACTTCAAAGAAGACTTGAACCAGATCCAATACCGATCCTCGATTGGCTGCCGGACCCGAGGCTGGAAAGAAACGACGTCCTCCTTGTGCCTTGCAATTTGGTCCAAGGCTCTACCTGCAGGCTCGGGGGATGAGTATAGTATGATTTCACGATTTTTTCCACTCGGCTCCTACTTGCCCAATACTACCAGCCTCACGGATCGGTGAGTAGAGGTGAGTAAGCTTGGGTATCCCGGCTAAGACGTTCCATCTCGTTGGGGTCGCATGGTACCGGTGACCAAAGCCGGCATAGTCTGCCCAGGAGCCCACGAGAAAAGCTCCAATCTAAGGCCTGTCGGCATCCATGGATGGGTCAACACTCTAAGGTAAACCATTGGTGAGTGAGTGTCATTTCGAGACTTGAACAACTTGGCAAAACAAACAGGTCCAAGCAATGAAAGCTAAGTAGCTAGAAGTCCCATAGAACCCTGTTGGGGACCCCTGTACTCAATATATTAATTATATATATATACATTAAAACGTAGAGAGACAAAAACATGCAGAAAGCAAGTACCTACTAAGTTTCTATAGACCAAAAGGCCATTCCCAAACACCTGGAGGTCCCGCAGTCGAAGTGTGTTTACCCAGTTCGCGTCCTTGGTCCGATGAGGCATGGAATCATTACTTATAAATGGATTTGAATTAGGGTCCATGATGGTAAATGTATGGTAAATCTGGCAACTCTAACTATTCCATCGATGGGGTCTGTGAACATTGGTCACCGAAAATGACGAGTTTGCTGGAGAGTAACTCTTCCACCCTCCCACAGGTCACCCCAGACCCACCTTCGTTGTTGCCCACCAATGGGAACACCAGGAAGAACATGGAAGAACCCTTGATTGGTCCTTGATTGATGTAGGCCCTTGATGAATCACCCCCCCCAGAACATGGATTGTACAGCCACTTCATATTGGGGGGTTGCACATCATACCCTAGGGATCCAAGTACCTTCTCAGAAGGTGATTGGAGACTTTTTGTGTAGGCTTGGAGGGCCCAAGTACCTTCTGAGAAGGTATGTGGATTCCTAGGGATATGTCATCCCCTTAAAAACGCCCCTGAGATCCCCTGAGGATCGACAGAAGCATGTAGGAACCGAGCGCGCTCACTGCCTTCCTAGACTCGGATTGCACCGGCAAGCGCTTCAGGCCCGCATGGAGCCGTGGGAACTGTTCCAGATGTGAAAAGAAGGGCGCAGGGCCTCGTTTCAAACGGGGCGGGCGAGAGCGGTGGCAACAGGAGTCCGGCAGAAAGGTCAGCATGTAAGCATAAGATAGCAATCTTGAGGCATCATCATTTTGTACACGCCCACTCTGGTACATGCCATTTTGTAGATGGCAAGGCAGCTTGGGTCAGAGCTTTTTGTAGACTCCAAACCTGGTCCCCTTGCAAACTGTTCGCCCCAACCTCTCCCCGGGGATGCATTCGGCGCCTTGCGGACGGTGTGTGGCATGAAAATGGCGTCAAGGGACCATGCCATCCACTTCCATGTTGGTGAGTCAGAGTGCACATGAGTTCTCAAAACAGTATGCAGGTGTCTAGTGTGAATTTCGATTTGGAACCAATGAGTGGACTGGTCTATTTCCCTTCTCAGAGGGGAGTCTTTCACTGGGAGGTCTCCCTTGTTTTGATACATACCCGCCCTGTAGTTTGAATTTCAGTCTTATTTCATGCATCCTGTAGTTCGTCTTGTGGGTGCAGGCAAAAAGGGGTACACTCCCTTCAAGCACACTGACATGGGATGAGATGTTTGGTACCCTCAAATGACCACATGGGAGTCCCAGGGCTTCTCAGCTGAAACTAAAACGGCTGAAGCTGAAACTTGTCGATGGAACTAGGTTTCCCCCCCGGAAGGATGACCATTCCGAAGACCAAGCTCGCTTTCGCTCCACTCCACTCCCATGTTCGTGACGTCGTAGTGTATCACCTGGTTTTCCCCCACCTTAAGCGAGGTCAAAACCTGGTAGGTCCCACCCCATGTGGACCATGGTAGGTCCACACCGACACCAGGTAGGTCGTTCGGTCTCCCGGTGCGAAGTTAAACGGCAAGAGACACGACGCAGAGGCGTCTCTAGACTCCATCCGACATAATCCAAACACGACCCTGACTGAAGCTATGCCACCTACACCTCGGTTCCGAGACGAACCTGAAAACCACGGGTTGTAGAGGAACATCGTCTTCCAAGTCCATGCCATCAGGTTCCATGTGGGTCTCTTCCCGGGTGCAACGTCAAATGCCGCCCCATGGTGCGACTCAAGAAATTGCCGCCAACGCACTGAAGAGCATGAAATTGCGGGCCAAGAACCTGAGCGAAGCGGGCATCGCGCAGCGGTCTGAACAGAACTTTTGCCACCGTTTTCCTTAAATAACATATCCTTTCAGCATAAAGATGGAATTTGGGTCTGAGCAGGGTTGTCGGCATCATACCTAGAGTGGGAAATCTTTTGAGAATTGAGTTACATCATACATCCAATCATAGATACCCGGTTGCACTGGGACCAACCGAGTCAGTACAGGGTTTTCTCGGGGTGACTGACCCTTGCTCAGCCAAGTCACCTCGACACGTCCTTTTGGTTCAGCGTGAAATGAATGGCCGACGCATCCAGCGGGATCCATCGGGATCCAACGATAGGCTGAGGCTGGGGTGGGTGATTGGAGGAGCTAGTCTCTGAGCTAGTTCATGCTAGTTAGCAAGTTGAAACCCTGGGGAGGGACTCTTTGGTCAAAGGGAATGCTCAAACGAAGCTTCCAGTTGGTCAAGCTCGGACCGTTGATGGCCATCTTCATATCCCCAAATACGACCTCTCTGTTGACTTGCCTACCTGCACCGCTGAAACGAATGGTCGTCCCATGGACTGTCTGGGGAATACGACCATGCTGATGCTGACCATGCTAGGCCAGCCACGCTGCAGGTAGATATACAATCGATTCATCTCGATTTGTGAGGGATTTGACCACTCTACTCACTGGTCTCTACTCATAGGCCTACAAGATCGAGCTGTTCTCAGCCTCTACAGGACAGGCAAATGCATCCAAGGGACAGGATGATCAAGGGCAAGTACCAACATGCATCAAATAAGAGATTGTAGAACTTGATTTGCCCGTGGACAATCTCCACCGCTTGCATCCAGGGCCGGTTTGCAAAGAATAAGACCAGGCGCACAATGTAGAAAATGATATGGACAGGAATCAGAAGAAGTCCAAAGACCAGGCTCGTGATGAGGATTGAGATCCTCACTCTGACAAGACTGCGAGAAGAAACACGGAATATAACGGATCGAAGCCGGGCACGTAAGAGGAACGAAACAAGATGAAACAAGGTACACTCCGACCCACGAACATGGAAGTGGATTGCATGGCCCCCCTTAGAAGACGACTTGTACGTCTTGACGGCCGAGGCTCGGAGGAGTGATTGTAACAAAGACACTATTAGGATCTATTAGGTGGAGGCCATCACAAGTAGCTTGGAGGACATCGCTACTAACAAAAAGCTACGAACGTAGCAAGGGCATCGCTAGCAATTCCAACCTCTCAAAGAAACTGCTTGATTCAATCGCGAGGGCGGCCTGACCTACCGTTTTCGGTTGGTTGAGGGTCCCAGGGATCGGTCCAAACCGGGGGGAGCCGGGCCCCGTGGGGGCCGAATCAGAGCTTTGACCATCCAATTCTTGGGGCGGTGTTTTCCGTCCAAAGTCTACATTGATGTAGCAATTCCGACCCCCCTTTTTTTTTCGGATGCGGGAGTCTTAGAGTCTTAGACCAAAAGCGCTGGTCGTTCTAGAACACACTCACCTCCGTTTCGCGACCCCCGCCGAGTCTGGTCCACTGTGGGTCGAAGAAACCGACCCCCGCAGCTCCACGACGTGCCGGAGGTCTGATTTCGACACAGCGGGATGGCCGTTTTGGGCCGTTTTCGCGGGAAACACGAGGTGGCCAGGCCAGGAGTGGTTGATGTGGACTTCGGGTGAATCAAAGGCATGATGATGAAACAGGTCTACCAGCATCATGAGGTTACCAATTCAAAGGGTCCAACGACTCTCTAGATTCCATATAGATGAGACCTGTTGGAGGATGCAGGTACAAACATCATGATTAGAGAATATCCCGGGATATACCAATAAGAGTGGATGATGCTGGTTAGTTTAGGTTATAGGCCGACATCTCAAGGTTAGGTGAATCAGTGATCATCTACCGACTGTTACTGGTACCGGGCCACACCCGGATCATGATCATTCATCTTTGTGTATTTCCCCGTTTGGGCTCCTGTCCCATATCCTCAAGTTTGGTGGTCAGACCCCCTGGCACCCACCCCTGGCCCACCGAACCTCAAACGGAGGGGGGCGGCCAGGAGCCCAAACAGGTTCGGTCAGGACTGGCGGTTACAAGTGGCCAACATCGTGGGACTCTGGCGACCCATCTCGCGACCTGACCACTTTCCCATCAACGAGACCCCAGTGAAAACAGGCTTTTAGAGCCACTCTCGCCCCATGTCCACACTCTAGATGGACATTTATCGGCTAAGAAATAGAAATAGCAGCCAGGAGTCACAAAGGAGTGCTTTTGTTGGTCCCTAATGTGAGTGGATGTGACAGGGGCACCCCTAACCTCCATGGATAGCAGCTCACTCCATGTGACTGGAGCTGAACGAACCCCTGGACCGCCACCTTGCAGCCAGCGTTCAGCAGGTGTTTCAGCTGGCTCGTGGTGTACTGCTTGCCTCGAAACCCACTGGAGACGAGCCATCCGGATTCTCTGCAGATTCTGATGCACAAGCCAGTTCTGGTATTCTAGGCCATCCATGGGGCTCAAATCATCACGTACGTTTAGTTCATGAAAATGACCCTACCATGGAAGTACGCCGTGGAAAATTACCATGGAACCTGAAAGCCACCTGGTTATAGAGGAGTATAGTCTTTCAACGGTCTATTTTCAGATTCCATGCTAATCTTCCCGGGTGTAACAATTCCAGTTCCATGGATGGTTTGGTTTGGTTTGATGTCTTACCTCCGAGCCACGGTCGATGGTTGCCTGGTTCGTAGGAGATGGATAGATAATGATGGATATATGGGCATATTCAATAGCCCATCTTAAGGATACACAAGCAGAAAGAGCAAGACCCTTGGCTTCAAAGACCATAGCTGCTGAGAGAAACCAAGTGGCCAATCACCCTCTATCAACCGGATACCACTGTCATTTACTTCTCTCTTGGCAATCCTGGCAAATGTTTTAAAACATATCAAAGAGCGGTCAGGCATGGCTCCTCTGTTGTTCAACCTTGGTAGATGATGTATACGTCGGTAAAGATGTCGTACAGATTCTTGTTGTGCAAAGGGTGTGGAAGTTTTGTATAGCAATTTCTGCATTCCTTTGTGTCGAGGTCTACAACCATCGTTCACTCAAACAACTGTTCCCACCAAAGCCCGAACGTTTGGTGTCGGAGGTTTCACGGCATTTCGTAAAAGTCGTCACTTGTGACAGGTTTCTCATCATCCACCAATGATGATTTCAAGGGCTGCATATCCATCAACTCGACTAGGCTCCATCGAGCTGACCAAAACCATGTTGCTCCGCTTCCATGTTGATGAAGTTGATGACGGGCAACATCAATATGCATGCAACATTTCTGTGCATCAAGTTCTAAGTTGGACGATATAAAACAATCGTCCATCCACTTTGCAATGTCAAATAAACCTTACACACCCACCGCAAACAATCACAGAATCTGAGATTGAACACGTAGATGGCACCCCATTCCTTTCCTTTCAGCAAATCAAATGTGCATCTCCAAGTGTGTCTAGAGATACGCAACTCCTCGCCCATGGATAGCCGGGTCTACCGTTGACCCCGGCCCGGCCCGAGGCCCGGCCCGGCCCGGCCCGGCCCGTGCGAACTCCCTTCCCCGGTGCCGTCAGGAGGCCAGCTGACGCAGTGGGCAAAGGAAGAATCTATGCATCAAGATGTATCCACAAACATGTTAGAGGAGGGATCGGCAAAGTGTTTTTAGTCTGTGCGAATAAACCCCTTTCTACTGTTGTCGGTCTACGGAGCTGGAATGGGGGTTTAGTTTTGATTAAACCCTTTTTGGTCGATTGATATTCATACCCTTGGGTTTGGGGTTTGGATCAGGATGTAAACCCTTTGTGATCGAGTGAGGGCCCTTACTCGACCAAAAAGGGTTTAATCAAAACTAAACCCCAAGTACAGCTCCGTAGACCGACAATATTAGAAAAGGGTTTATTCGCACAGACTAAAAAACCAGCCGATCCATCCTGTCTATAAAGTGTTTGTGGGTACATCTTGATGCATAGGTTCTTCCTTTGCCCACTGCGTCAGGTGGTCTCCTTACGCCACGCTGGGGCGGTGGATTTGAGGTGTGGTTTGGTGGATTCCACAAAGGACCTATACAAATGGAAGGACCGCAGTGGACCGGCCCGGACCGCCCGGACCGACCCGCAGTGGCCCGGCACGCGGTGGCCCGGCCCGCCCGGACCGGCCCGGACTATCCATGTCGCCCCACATCAAATCTTCGGGAGTCCTTCGCCCAACGGAGGCTTTTCGGAACCCAAACGTTCGAGTATCCTAGCTGGGTACCGCAGGTAGACGGGTCCCATTGGTCACTTCAAACCTCTCTTGGTCCAAGTGGCTGGCCTGTGTTGGATTTGTCCAGAAATCGTAGCATCCCCAAACGTTGGTGCGAATTCCACAGCAGAACTCGTCGAACGCACGGGACATGGCTGGTAGAACAGCGTCCACCATGCTGGTAGCATTGCACGTAACAGAGTTTGACACCACCCTCTCTATACTTTCTGAATCAAACAGCGTTAACATCTCCCTGTTTGCCTGGCAGCTAGGATATCATGTGCGGCTTTGCCCTGTTTGCCAATCAACAGAAATGGTTCCTGCATGTTTCCGTCAATCTCCTTATACTGTATGCAATCCATGTACAGAATCATCATTTAAACATAGACAAATAGTTGATATAAGTGATAGCCAGCCAGCGTTTGCAGCTCTTGGTGCTCGTCACTGCGAGGATCGACCATGAGATACGGAATGGGTCCGGGTCAGCAACTCCTGGCCATTCGGAACAGAAGGCCAGAATGTGTTCAACAGCAGCTAACGGCTTCGCATCGTTGACAAAAAACAATGTTGATTCGACCGTGTGCCGGAAAAGCTCCACGTGTCCACCAAAGATTGATCACAGAAACTCCCTAAATAATGTACTCCCTTAGATTGAAAGAACATGACACCCCCATTTTTAATGCGGCTTGACAGTCCAAATGAGGGCTCGAATGATCAAGAGCTATACCTGAAATCTGCCATCCCCGAGGCGGTCCTCGAGCAGCATCCAAGCGCCATCCTTGGCCGGGCCCCGTCCGAACAACGCCCGGCCAGGACCGAAAGCAGATTGGCAGGGTGACGGCTGCCAGTTGAGAAACAACAAGTAGATGGCACTGGCACCCGCAAGGTGTGTCGACCACTTGATCCAAAATCATGTTTAACTAAACTTTATCAGTTTAAAGATATTTAAAGATCATCTATCAGTGAAGTTGCATCTCAATCACCAGCTAAACTGCTGCTGTTACAACCCAAATCTCAGCCAACAAACCTGTCCATCCCACCAACAAACGACTGGGACCCGACTGATCCATCAGAGAGTTGAGGTTGTGCGTCGAAAAGAACACCTGGACAGCAACTGGGGATGTGCAGGTTTCATGCTGCTTCGACCGGGGGGTGTGGAGTCCAAGAGTGGCGCTTCGACGAGGTGCGAGCCGGGCGCAAGTTCATGCCAAATCCTATCAACTCACATGAGTGTGGACCAATCTGCCTTTTCCTCGCAGATGTTTGGAACTGCGGGTCTGAATCTCATTATACTCCCAATCAATGCCAGCACTGCCCCTCTCAGGGAGGCACAGCACCTGGGTGGCCACTTTCCTCTCAGGGTGGGGCCTTGCGCTTCCGATCGGTCTCTTGCCGAATTTCGGAGGGCCGCCAGGTCTGGTTGAACCACGGCTCCAGAGGGCCATAGAGTCTCAGGCACACGAACCAGGTCTTCCCTGGGGTCGTTTGCAGCCAATTGCTTTCCTTCCCCACGGGTGCTTCAGGTGCGAACCACACAGTCATTGAGCCATCAGTGTTGGTCTTCATATCTGGATGTCGAACGGAATTGCGCCCAGGGACGAGTTGTGGCGTTTGCAACATCGAGCGATGCTGTGCATCGTAAAGCACGAGGGACCAAAAGTCTTTGCATGGCACATTGGGAGGCAAGGTCAAGGAATAGCATTTGCCACCATCCATGTACTCGTGCTTCTCATCGCGAAAGGCCAGGACATATTGGGACCCCACTCCCACCATCTTGAGGACCATGGCCGGCGTATTTCCAGTGGCCAAGTAGAAGAATCGGGTCCGTGCGTCCTGGTTCCGGCCACCAACACCCTGGTCGACCAGCCATTGGTAGTCACCTCCCACCCAAGGAGTCTGCCATTCGCTCCCTTCTCCTTGGTTCGGGACTGGGGCGAAGGCGGCGGTCCAGACTGCGAGAAGGTCCAAACAAAAGGGGCACCGTGCCATTGAGATCCCGAAAAGTGGATCTGAGTTGGAAAAAGTGAACAAAGCAGGTTGATCACGAGCTAGATGATCATAGATGGTCTCAAGGGAGGTTCAGGTTTATCTACTTCAGCCCAAGCTGCCATAGAACTTGGCACTTTTGTCACGCGGTGCAAAGCAAAGTGCTCGGGCCGTGGCGTTCCCCAGCGCCACTCCTTCTTCCAAAAGGGCCTTCATTCGCTCATCGGGCTGGAAGGGGCATCCTTTCCTCCAACGATCGACCATTGCGCACAAGTTACCGCCATCAGCATTCTGCGCAGGTTAGATATCACATTGCCGGGTGGTTGAAGTTGCGTGTATGGAGTTCTAAATATGATACATATTTTGTATCTTATCTATTATTCTATAAGACTTATTACATTACACAAAGAACTCACCTAACCATCTACAAGTATAGGCTCGTCACAGGCGCGGTCGGACGTTTGCCGCCCTATCCCTATATATGTGGTTGGTCCGGTCCTGATGCCAATGGCCGACAGAGTACCCCGCAACTCGGGATCCAAGAATTCGGCGGGCTCGCGCTGAATCACCGCATTCACCTCCTTGAAGAAGCCAAAGTCGTTGGAATGAATCGTGTTCCTGGGTGGTCTGGGAACACAGATGAAGACCGAACTGGGACTGGCATACATTGCGGGAGGTTTCAGGGATGTAGGTAAAGATGTGCCATACATTATCAAATATTCATAGAGTGTTTGGGGTGGTCAGTTGGTCATTGTTGTCTTCTCCCACCTGACGCCGAGGAAGAAATGGGGGGAGTGACATTCATTGATTGATGACTTTGGGTTGAACAAAAAAATGCTGGAACCACTTGCCCCAGGTTCATTTCTTTCCCTGACATGTCCAAGAATTCCATGCTGGGTGGGCTTGAACTGCTAGACAAAGGATAGATTTTGAGGCCTGAGGTCCACATCTTCGCTGCAGGCTCGGGACTCCCATCTTGCAAAAAGCCTCTCAGGATGACCCAATTGGTGTAGCTGGGAGTCCGGAATACATAGAATCCACCCGGCACCTCTGCATCGTAGCCAGGTGGAAGTACCAAATACTTTCCTCCAGCTCCCTTGTCTGGGCCCGGCTTGCCCATATCTCCCACATATCGAAAATAGGCATCATTCACTAGACCAGGCCCAGCGCCCGCCGGCACCTCTATGACCGTTGGCCCATCTCTCTGTAAATCTAACATGGCACCCACGTAGACCGCTTCCGTATTGCCGGTGAGCCATAAGGAGCGGCTATCCATTAAGTTTCCATACAAACAGGCCTTGTGACAGGCATCACAGCCAATCGCTGCAAAACCCGCTCTCATGGCCTCCATTGAGGCCATGGGTATCATGTCTAGAAATGCATGTTTGGCCCTTGAGCGATCCAAGTCATCGTAGACTTTCTGCACAGTAGCCTCATCAGGAAGACCATCCTGAAATCTCAGCTTTCCCAAGCACGTGTCATACTCGGCTCGCGTGGTAATGCCCTCTGGAACCTTTCCGAATGACATGAGGCGCCAATAAGCATCAAAATTGCTACAGAACCTTTAGCCTTGGGCCCAATGGTGTCATGAGAGTCATGTACTACCATCACAAGCACGATCAAGTCCAAAGATCAAACAAGAATCCGATCCAAATCCTTCCCAACAGTTTTTGGGTACGGTTGCATGTTGTTTCATGATGTTAACATTGGACATCCGAGAAAAAAAAAAAAAAAAACCGCAAACACCATGCGTGGCTTAAAAAAAACGCATTTATATATAGTGAACTTCCAACGCCTCACTTTGGGCCAAGCAAATATGACTTCCTTCACCTCTCTGGACTCGCCCACTTCTTCGATCTCGGCCACCCAGCGAAGAAAACGCGCAGCCAGGGTTGCCCGTAAGTCCTTTTTGCCATCTGCAGCGACCCTGAGGGTACCCTGGGACCCTCCCTCACCATAGCAGCAACTGGTCTTTCGATGTGACAAACGAAAGTGGAACGGTTTGAGCAACATTTGGGGGGTACTTGAACTGTGCTGCTACGGGTTCAGGAAGGGGATCAGGATCCTCTTTCGCTTACCCCTCCACATCTTGGTGAGGTCCTTTTCAGGTCAGGAGGAGGCGAACGGCCTTCACAGCAGCGGCCAAAACCCCGCTCGCAAAGCAGCTGAAGTTCCACTCTTTCAGTGGGCCTTCGGCCCTCAGAGCAGTTTTTTTTCTTTTGTTCGATGCTCCAACTCCAACAAACATGAGATGATAAGAACACCAGAATCACGAGAATCAGGTCGAGGTGCATGTTGCATGAGATCCCTTTGAATTTAGGATGGAAATGCCCAAAGGCATTTGGACCTCAAACAACAGACTTGCAGGGCTCCGTGCATGCGCCATTGCGAAGTGCACGGCAGCAATCACCAAGCTAGGTTAGAAACACGGAAACTTGAAGCATGATGCATTGCATTTGCACCATGGCTGAAACGACAAAGGTGATGATATACATGGCATTCGCAAGCTCGAGCGTTGGTCGAGATGCTGGGTCCATGAGAGGCCATCATGAAGGCTTTCCAGTTTCGGGGACCTCCGGTCCCCTTTCTGAACTTGTTGCAACAATATTTAGAAATACGTTGCCTGTTGTTTACAACGTTGCCTGTTGCATATTATAACTGTTTAAAACATGTTACATGTTCAATAACAATTTCGACGCATATTGTACTGCTTCTCGCGGTCAGTTTGGCAGCTGGAAAGCGAAGGGCAGGTTTCCAGGGAACTGTCCGACTTATCTGCTCGGAGTTCCATCTTTGAAGAACATCAACTTCCTCACGCATAGCATTCAACATGCTGTGCCATTCTGTGATGAACATGTGACATGTGTTGCTTTTTTTCTCTCCTTGCATGATGTTCACATCACCTACCTCTGACGGGCAGAAGGGTCTTTTGATGGCCCTACCTCTGTGCCGAACGAACGTGTCGGATCAGAAGGAATCTTCGAAATCCATGCCCTGTTGACACTTCAGCCAATTGACACTTCAGCCCGGTTCCAAAAAACAACAAACACATCTAGGGCCACCCGATCTTCAAGAACAGTCACACTCAAATCTTCGCAGATCTTCGCAGAATCAAAGGACGGCCTTCGTGTCTGCGGTGCCCGCGCTGGTTTGCCGGGTACCAGCACTCGTCTGCCGATCATCCAGCACATGTGCGGGCCAAGGTTCCTCGGTTCTGCAGGAGACATGTCGACATGTCGACGTTGAATGAAGCGAGTTTGAAGCACTGGATGTGGATGGAGGGATTCCAAAAGAACCAACCACTCACCAAGCTGTGGTGCAGAATGTCCTCTTTCAACAGCGGTACATAGAGATTACCACCATCATGTGTTCTAACCCCAAGGAACTGAGAGCTAAGAAATGAAGACTCATTGAAGCATCAAATCAAATGGTCAGTCCATAGACAAAAAACCATAGACCAACCAAACCCCTGGTTCCTTCTTTATGAATGTAGTGGTACCTGGGATCCACTGCGGCCCTAGGGTGGTAGAATCAATCTCCATCCACTCAGATCCACTCAGTAGATTTTGAGTTATACCACACGTTTCGATCTAACGGTACTCTTAGGCATCGATGGCATCTACTCTCAAACCGTAAGAGTCTCTGCCCCCAACGGACCCTCGGGACCCAAGAAGCCGGTGAAGGTTTGGGGTTCGGGTTGTTCAAGGCCCCATGCGAAAAGCAGGGTCGTTGGACCCTGCAGTTTGGAGGGTATAATATATATATATATTATATATGTATATTATATATTTATTTTATAAATAAACAATAACAAATACATGTCCCACCCAAACGCTCCTGGACTCTCAAATGAAGTTGATCGGTCTCTATCGGTCTCTCATGAGGGTCGGACCGTCAGAGCGTAACTCCGGGAGTTCTGGGAGTTCGATCGATGCCCGGTCAGCAACGCAGCCAGGAGAAGTTCGCCGGCCGACTGAGTCGGTTTCCACGAAATGACTCATCCACGGATGGGAAAATGGACTTGATGTTGGATGAGTCATGAACCCGAAGACCGAACAGGTGCTGAAGTTCTTTGCGGGAGGGAAGTGTGCTTTCCCAGACACTCCATGATGGAATCTATGGCAACATTGACCCCCGAAACCAACCAAATGTAGGCAACTATGGCAGTCCCATTAGTCGTGTCTGGGATTGGTCTCCTGCGGATCATTTATAGCGTCGAACGCTTCCGTTTTGGGGACGTGGTCGTTTTCAGCACCTGCGACGTGCGCTTCGGCCCATTGGGTGATTTCATGCGACGTGCCGGAGGGCTGGCCCACCTGGAAAACTCAGTCCCTGGAACTCCCCAGTCCCATCTATTTCCTATGTAAAGGATCTCCAAGCATAAGCAAACCATATTGGAACAAGCATTTCTTTCTGGGATTGTAATATTGGTCGATCAGGCAGTGGTGGATTTCAGGGGTCAATGGAGGCCCCACGGAGGGTCGAGCAGGGTCCGGGTACCTGCTGTCTGCGTCAGTTCGAAGGTTTCAGTAAGTACCATAAGTACCCAAACCGACCACCGACCCAAACCTTCTTAATGACGCTTTCCAGCAGGGAACCCCGCAATTGTGATGGTTGATTGTCATATATGATTATCATACAAGTCCGATAAAAGGAGTCCTTCTTCATCCTTCTGCAGTCATATCAAACCCCAAACATTCTGAGGCCGAGGAAACCCAAAGTAACGGGCCCTTTTATGGATTCAAAGCTGGTCCCATCTAACTCCTAGCCAAAAAAAACCGTTCGAAAACGAGTCTGATGTCTTTTTCGGGTTAATTAGTATTTTGGGGGGACAGGATTTGCCAGAACCATTCCCTGGCCACGGCCGACTGGTCGACGCCAGTCTTGTGCAGCTGTTGCTCCATTTGGACCATGCAAACAGTTCCAGCTTGCAACTCTAAGACCTTCAGACAAACTATGAACATCCTCAGACTCATACCATCACATCCTCCTGCATCCTTCACTTCTATGGAAAACACACATGGCTACACACAGAGTACATCAAAACAAACAACATAGAAATACCAAGCTAAACAAAACACGAAAGCCAAGGCAAACATACTCCAAAAATCACATCCTCAAGAATAAGGTCCCAGGTTCGGACTTCGTCACGTCCGCCTCCACGTCCTTCTCCAAATCCTGCTGGGCGGCCTCTGGAACATCGCCTCAGCGTCAGGCTGTTAAGGCGGCCGCAACCGCTGGCGCCCATAGGCTGGCGCCGAAGGGTGCCAAAGGGGTCATGGTGTCGATTTTTGCCAAGGAATGTCTGAGGGTGGCATGGTCAACATGTGATAGTATAATATTAGTAGAGTTTATCATATAGTATGTTGTATCATAGTATGTCGTTTACATACGTATGTATAAATAGTAGTATTGTCTCATGCCAGCGCTCCTCGAGGAGTCTCTATATATATATAACAATTGACATCTTCATCAGAAACAGAAACAAAGGCGGCAGAGTCG